CCTGAGGTGTGCAGCTTGTGCTTCCATCCTTCAAGTCTTTAGGGAGTGTAACTGTATTTCCTTAAGATAAAATAAGTGTTTATTATAGGAATGTGCAAAGTACCAAACGTACACTGTGAATAATAACACTTTTATCCCCTGTTATTCTAGGATGAGTAACTTTTAAACTATTCTTGAACATGAAGAAAAAAATAATCGGTTGAACCAGATGCTTACTTATTCTTATCTATTTTAGAGAACTAATTATCCCTGTTGTTGGTAGTGCTAAAGCTTACAAAATTGCTTCCATCTTTGAATTACTATAATTAAGACAATAACTTCCACATCTAGTTAACATTGCTGTGCAGCTGGTGCATTCATTGACATGCAGATTTTGCATTTTGTAAATTTTCTGCCTTTGTGATTAAAAATTTTAAATACTTATTTTCATTTCCAAAATGTCTGTTTCTCATAAAGACGTCTTTGTAAAGCAAATCAACTGAAACCAAACTCCTGTAACATCAGAGGAGGATCTGGTGAAGTTTGGTTAGGTGATAGTATGTTTTAGGAAGATACATAACCACAGATAGCTTTTGTAGGTGTGATCACTCTGAGTTTTGGATCCCCTTTCATAGCGATTTGGGTCACTGAATTAAATGTCAAATCAGGAGCAAGTCTGTTGGACTTCAGAAATGCTGGAATGTTTGGAAGGAGTTACTGGTTGATGCAAGAGTTAATCCCGCACAGGAGCAACCTAAGGTTGGTTACAAAACTAAAACTCTGTAATTAAAAATCACTAATATGAATAAAACAAAATAATGATTCCTAACCAAAATGTGATTTAAGCTCTGCTTTTTCTGTACATCTTATTACTCCACGTTGGTTTCTATCAAAGTCCATTTTGATAGAAGACTCATGCAGTCGGTGCTAATCTTGTTTATTTGTATATTCAGCAGCTTCAATGAGAAATTTTACAAGGGCTCTAAATTTAGATAGATTTTGAGAAGCTTCCTTGTCACTATTCATTTCTTAATAACCAGCAACGCCATGAAATTAGTTGATAGTGGTTCCTGGTTATTTATTTTGAAATTGTTTTTCTGTGGCCCTTGCTTTCATTACATGAATGCCTCACGGGCATTAATCAGTTTTGCTCAGTGAGTTAGAGACGTCCCCAGAGCAAACTGCTAAAATAAAGAATCAGATATTGATTAATGCTGGGACTGAAACATTGATTTCTTTTTCAGACTGAAAATACATATGAAACAAGGTGTACTAATGGTGCTTGTTTTAGAGGCTGACGTCGGATTGTCTGTGGGTGCATAGGAGAAGGTTTGTTAGGGTGTAGTTGAAGAGGACGCGCGCTGCGTGCAGCTCGCAGGTACGATACCAAATGTTCTCATAAATAGTGCTGGCTTGAGGGCACATTTCAGGGAGTCCAAACCCAGTGTCCAGTTACCAGACCCAAGTCCAATGTCCTGCAGTGTTCAGTTTCAAGAATGCATTGGGAACACTTCAGTACATGTAACAAATGTTATTTTTACTGCAGGCAGGGAAATTAACTCTAGAAATAGGAATAGCTCTATTTCTGTAGTGATGGCAAAGGCATTGTTTCAAATATTTTGATATAAATCATCCGTTTTGCTGAGAATGTTCAGAATCAAATCAAGTTTCTCTTGTCGTCTTACAGATCTCTAGACCTAGGTTTGGCAGCATGCGTGCTTGGTGGCCTTGGTGGCACAGGGGGTTTCAGGATGGCAGAGTGGGCATTTGCATCTTGACAGCCCAGGAGCTCGACCCTGCAGCCCGGGCAGTACAGAAACTCTGTGCTTTTAAAATCGTATTTTGCCTAAACTGGAAGACCTGGAGGGGGTTTGATCTCTGGAATTATGAAGTGGGATCTGAATAAAAAAGGTTAACAAGACCCATACCAAATTGCGAGAGGAAAGGAGGGTCTGAGTTTGGCTCGCCTTGCATTTAATGAAAATAGCAAGATGTTGGCTTATAAGCAAGTAATAGTGCTTGGAATCTCTCTGGACCAGTTAAGAACTTTTTTCTAGTTGGAATACTCAGAGATATATGGGTAACCTTTTCCCTTTCTACTTTCTCCTTCTTCTTCTGTTTTCTTATGCAGATTGAAGTATTTTTAGGGTAAGGAAACATAGAATGTTGTTCAGAGAATTTGTGAACTGTAATAAACAATAGTTAATGCAATTTATAGGGTTAATAGCCCTGTAGCTCAGTATTGAGCCCAATACCGTCTGTTTGGCTAAAGTGTATCTTCCAGGAAATAGTTTTTTCTTCATTTGAACCGTTTCTGCCAACACTTGAATTGACTAGTTTGAATTTCTTTGGCACAAAGCCCTGGTTAAAGCCAGCTTCTTTCTTATTTAGCTGTTCTTCTTTAGGAGGTGCTCAGATGCTGTCGTGGTGACTTCTTGGGGGAGGCCACCCAACTGAAGTCTTCATGTTGCCTCCTCCCTTTCCCCCTTGTTTTGTATTTTAGTGACTACCGGAACTTCATCTCTTTGTTCTATAGTTTCTCAGGGATTCCAAGATCTAAAGGTTTTGTGTGTATACCCAGAGAGCTCTCCTCAACCAGTAGAGAGTATGATTGTATTTGTATATTTTTCTCATCATACAACATGGATTGAAGAAATTATGAATTCTGTTTTTAGCCTCTCTGTTTAAGCTTTGCCTTATTGCCAACACACATGGTTCATAGCAATGGCTAAAGAGGCCTAAGTGATGTTCCCCCATCCCAGATGAGACATCCAGGGAAACGAAAAGTTATCCAATTTCGAAGGTGTAAAGAGAATAATGTTTTATTCCTAACTTGGGGCTAGGCTTTCACTCCAAGCCATTCCCTCCTTTGGGTACATTTGTGTAAACCTGACCTATTTTAATGGGTCTCAGCTGTGCTTGCTCTCCAGCCACTTAACCCTTTCTCTTTTGGTTCCTTATCTTTTCAAATACAGCAGAGAAAAAGGGTTTGTAAAACTCGGTTCAATTTGGCAAACGTGGGCAAGCAGTTAAAAAACTGAGTTTGGGACAGTTCATGTGTTGTGATTTAAATATACTGAGTTTCCATAGCCAGCGCCAGATATCGCTGTGGTATAGTGTATTTTAGGAACTGTCTTCAGCAAACGGATATGACCAGAGAGGATGGAGCTGTGTTTTCTCATTGTACTGGTGTTTTATACTGAGCAATATCTTAAAGTCTTACGTTATAACTTGTATTAAAATACCCAGGGCTTCTTTATTTCTTACATAGTAATATATATTATATTAGAATACTTAGGCCTTTCATGTTGCAAGAAGGATTTTCTGGTAATATAAACATAATGATTATGTGGTATTAATGTAGAATTGAGGATTCTTGTTTTTTTTCCAGCAATTACTGAAATAGAGTAACTGGAAACATACTAAAAAAATCCCATGAACTGAGATTTTAAGCTTCTTAAAATCAGACTGTTAGTTTTTCCGTACAATATACACAATGGCAATCAGGTTTTGGATGGGCTATTGTTGAATAATACATGAATGTAAATGGAGATTGTATGGAATCAGTTGGATAATTTTGAGGAATGTTTTAAGTACACTGAAGAGCCTGAATAGCAGTTAATGGTGCTTCAGCTTTATTACTGTTTATTACAGTTGGCAGTTCAGTTGCATTTTTTCCTGCATTGAGTTCTCTAGTTTCCTATAGAACAGCAATAAAAAAGCTTACAAATAAGAACAGTCAGATGCACTGTATCCTGTGGCAGAAGAATAGTTTCGCATTGAATTGTAGTTCTTGGCAGTCAGAGCGTGTTTATTGTTGGGCAGCTCCAGAAGATCAGCCGGTGCACGAAGGACTGGGGCAGACGTCAGCATTCGGAGCTCTGCAAGCAAATAGGCTTTGCATGTGTCTGCGGTAACCCAGCAGGGAGCTTCATGGGGCACCTCCAGAGCTGAGCCAGTGAGCTCCTGATTCAGCCTCAGCTCAGCCTTCCCTGCTCCTTCCTATTCTCCCACTCCCTACCAAGATAAATACGGTTTTAGTTGCCTGTTTTGAGAACTGCTGAAGTAAGCAGATACGTTTCTGCCATCTAGAAAGCGAGAGGTGCAGTAAATAAATGTACGTAGCTTTAGTACTTAGTTGTGAGATTTTGCTGGGAACCTGGGCTGTTTGTTGTGTTTAAACAACAGAAGAAGTGGTGATGGGAGAGTGATTTAAATTATCTAGTTGTTCACAGCTCCCATGGTTTAAAGATCTTTCCCTTGCCCACTGCAATTACTTCTATCATCTTTGGAGCTAGATGTTTGCTACTTGCAATCACAAGCTGAAAAACAAATGGAGGAATGCAGTGTTCTCTTTGTTTGGCTAAGTTCTGAAACTCGAGTGGGGAAAAACCCCATTCTGAACTGCTTCATACCGAAGTATTGCTTTCTTTGCTAGAGCAAGTCATGGCATTGAGGGGAGCCTGTTCAGCAGAGGGCTTATCTGAAACTTGCTTTGCAGAGCTTTCTGTTGCTGTGTTCACAAAGACTCTTGAATCTCAGGTTTTAAGTTTTATTAGTAATCCTGCTCGTCTGCTGAATTGTGCCAGCGCTTTGTAATTTTAACTCTACCCTGAGGAATATGCTCTCGTTTCTTACAGTAATAGCCAATAATTGTAATAAATTTATCTGCTAAGTTAGACACTGGTAGGAATAAGTGAAACACTCTGGGGTATTTCACAGTTTTCTGCTTTTTGTGTGATTTGTAGAGCATGAGTTGCACAAATCTGGGGGATTTGTTGTCTGCTATCTCTAGTGGCCTGTGCAGCATGAGTTAGAGTTTTTATATTGCTTCCAGCATATTAAATCATTTATTGATGACGAAGTGCCATTTGTCCCTTCATGCTTCCTTTTTTTGCAGGGTCGCTACCAACCTAAACACTGGGAGATTCCTCCTTAGCTGACAGATGTTCTGCAGGACCTGCCTTCAGGTGCTTTTGTCCATCTGATCGTGCCTTATGGTTTCTATTTCTTTCTTTCAGCTGTCGGACAAGCAACAGAAAAAGCTTGATTGTAACATCCAGCACATCTCCAACTCTCCCACGACCACATTCCCCTCTTCATGGACATGCAGGTAACTTCTTAGGACTGCTTTACCTGGACATCATTAGGAAAAATGTCAATGTTCATTGTAGTGAGTTTGACTGTGTTGATACTCTATGTCAAAGTATGCTCTTTGAAACAATCTGACTGTAGGTTTTCGCCTTTTCTAGCTTGTAAGAGGGTCCTTAGTTTCAAAAGAAATGTCTTATATCCTCTTCTGCTCTGTACTTTCTAGTTTGCTGCCATATCCATCCTCTTTCTGGGGACTCGATCCTCTAGCATCCTGCAAAAGAACCTGTGGTAGAGAATGAAGTAAAATAAAATAAAATAAATACATTTAAGTAAATATCTTGTTTTGAGTCTTCTAACACGGTTAACTTGTGCCAGTGATTTCACTGCAGTTCTCACAAGGAGAAACATCCTGCTTGCTTCTGTTTGCCTCCAGCAGTCTATCAGCTGTGCAGTGTGCCATCTTATGGTCTCTACCTACTACTTAGAGCACCGTGAGGTGTTTAGGATTCTTTCTTTTTTTTACGTTACTGCCAGTTCTACCATGGCAGCAACAGGGAAATGCTCATTTCAGAGCAAATGGGCAACTGCTTTAGTCATGAAGGTACAGTGTGTGGAGAAGTTCTTTCTATAGAATAAAGACTGATAGCTCAGCCTACAATAACTGCAGATTTTCAGACAGGATCATGCATGCAGATTGAACAGCTTGCCTGAACAGCATGTTCCCTTGTTGTTTTTATTGCTAAAGTAGGTAGATGATGTGTGATTACTTTGTTTTTGAGATTTCAAAATGCCAGCAAAGACGGTTGGGCTTCAGGTATGGCCCTAACAGGCTCTAATCAGTAGTGTGAAACAGGTGGAACATTTGTGCCACATCACCCACAATAGAGCCTGTCTGGAAGCACATCACAGTGACATGTAAGAGAAGTAACTGTTGTTTTCATTGTAATCAGACTTTCCTCCTCCTACATGGCAGTATGTTCTGTAAAGACTTTCTGGACATTGAAGCTAAGGAAATGCTGAGAAAGAACAGCAAATTCGGAGTAGCTCAGCTAGAAGGAACCATCTGCTTCTGTTCGGTGAGCATAGCATCTCAAGAAGTGGCATCCAGCCTGTTGAAAGGAAAAAGAAGACCAAAGTTGTTCAGGGATGCCCATGGGAGCCTCAACCACCCTAAGCTTTCATAAAAACCTGTCATATTTGCTTGGTATGCTTTAAAGAAAGCCCAGTCATGGAAGGCTAAGGAGTGACTTTAATGGCATTGTTCTTTTTGAATGGCCTGTGATTTTCAAACGAAAATGCTAACACAGTTGTAGAAGTGGTATACTAAAAACATTTTCATTTTGCTTCAGAATCTCAGATACAATACAGGGCTAAAAATTTGCACAGGGAATCCCTTTCACTTCAGATTCCCTTGGTTCTGTTGTATGTGATTATGGTAGGGATAGCTTTGTAAAATTTGGTTTCAACAAGGCTATTCTTGGTAGAGATTCTACTCTGAGTTACACTGTGCTCTTTACTTTGTTCTTAGAGTTGATATATATATGTTGGATTTACCGAATTCTGAATTAGCTGTACAAGCCTTTAACTGACCTGATGGAGAAGGATGCTCCTCAGAATATGAAAGAAGTGTCCTTGCTTGGCAGATTGCAACAAGATATTGACATGATCGTTGCTTAGAAAACAAAGGCAAAAATGTTCACAGTAGAAACATAGGGATGCTGGGCATGGACTCTTCATTAGGGACTGTAGTGATAGGACAAGGGGTAATTGGTAAAAACTTAAACAGGGGAAGTTTAGATTGGATATAAGGAAGAAGTTCTTTACTGTGAGGGCGGTGAGTCACTGGAATGGGTTGCCCAGGGAAGCTGTGAATGCTCCATCCCTGGCGGTGTTCAAGGCCAGGTTGGACAGAGCCTTGGGTGCCATGGTCTAGTGTGAGGTGTCCCTGCCCATGGCAGGAGGGCTGGAGCTAGGTGATCTTAAGGTCCTTTCCAACCCTAAGTGTTCCATGATTCTATGAAAAATCGCTCTTACTGGTTTTGAAGCTGTGCTGGGCTTTGCAAGCTTACAGTATGAAGTATGGAAGTGTGTCCTAGAAACAAGAGTAGTGCTAATCAGTGGTATCCCATCTTTCCTCAGCAGTAATTGTTGAATATTTCCATTTTTGTGCTGATGTTGCGTATGGGATTTAAAACTATTAATTAAAAGCACATCCTTTGTGACTTCCACGAGTAGCCAGTAGAGCATAGGAAGATAAATTGCGTGTAATTTGAGTTCTCTACCACTTCTATATTTAGGAGTCTTCCCTGGGAAAATTAATTTATTCAAGAGACAAAAGTAGATGAAATTTAGAGTAGAGTCACAAATATTTTCTTAAGAAATACCATATCTGAGATGTGAATCTGAGAACAGGCTGTGATATTTGTTTAGTATTTGAACAGAATCTAGCAATCTGTTTGTTCAGGCACATACACTGGTAAGTTACTAAGAAATGCTGGAGCCTTTCCCTGGCTTCTTTTCTCTTGTCTTCTTAATGCCCCTTCTGAGCCTCTGTTATGAATCAAAGGAGCAGCAAGCATGCAGAGAAATAAGGGAGGCTTTCTAAAATGTTTCCATTCAGAAACCACTCTGAAATCAAGTCCTGTGTGGCACTAGCCTAAGGAGTTATTCTTCTATATGTAATGTAAAAGTCAGTGGGTGTGATATTGCACAGCTGATTGTCTGTTGGGCAAACCTACCTCCTGGTGAACAGTAATCCAGGCAGATACTCTCTAAAACAGCATCCAGGAAATTTCATATCCTATAAAATTGAAAAGAAAAGTGATACTTCACAGATCTCAACATTTGAGATGAAAGTACCTCCAAACAATTGCAACTCTGCCATGAAATCACTTCTCATTCAAGAACACTTAATGGGTTTGAAGTGTGCTAATTCAGTTGTCAAACTGCATGAAATGAGGTTTTCCAAAATGAGCTGGGACCTTGGTATGGAGAGCTGCAGCTTGTTGACTGTGTGGGAAACACACTCTGCTTATTTAGTCTCCCAGACTTGGAAGTGCCCAGTTTTAGGAATACAGGTTTGAAAATGATCCTTTTATTCCACGTTATGTTTCTTTCAAAATCAGAGGAAAAATATGTACACGTATTTGTGTACATTTGTTTGTATTTCCTCGAATCCATTTTTTTCAATCTGAAAATTAGAGAGGTTCCATCATGAGGTTGAATCCTAAGTTATCATTAGATTGTATTTGAAAATGAAACGCTTAAAATCAATCAAAGAAGCAACATCATGTTTACAAGAGATGGAAAAAGAGAGATGAAAAAAATAGATGAAATATATAGATGAAAGAGAGAAATATAAGGATGAAAGAGAGATGTTCTCACAGCTGGATAACTGAAGTTCAGGCTATTTTTAAGTTTACTTTCCACAGCTGTAAGTAGCCAGGTTGCTTGATGGCTTCTAGTGGAGATGCTGGTTACTGCTGGGACCTTTATCCTGCTCCCGTCTGTAATAGCAGGTGGAGGGAGCTGCTCACAGGCAGCACTGTGGTACCAAACGAAATGATTCTGCTCTTACATTGCAAGTTCAGTTCCACCTTCTGGCAGAAGAATGGCTGTTACTAAGGATTTTATTTATTGATTATTTTTAGATTGGGCAGGTGTTGTCCTGGTTATCAAAGCATCAACATTTCATGTGTGATCCTCAGGTGGTGTGAGAGTGCTATGGCATGCATTATATATGGGGCAGGTGGTACACAGGGTGCTTAAAATATTTGGTCATTTTGAGATTTGTTTTGCTAGAAAACAGCTAATTTTGTAGCATGCAGTGAGGTCTTTAGCTGCTTGTATAAATACTCAGCAAAAAACATCCTACACAGAAGATCACAACATCTTTGTCTTTTGTGTTTGTATTGGGCCATGAGGATGATTCAGGGGCTGAAGCACCTCCTGTATGAAGACAGGCTGAGAAAGTTGGGTCTGTTCAGCCTGGAGATACGAAGATGTGTGGGGACCCCAGTGCAGCCTTCCAGTATCTGAAGGGAGCCTACAGGGATGCTGGGGGGGGACTCTTCATCAGGGACTGTAGCAATAGGAAAAGGAGTGATGGGTTTAAATTTAAATGGGAAGGGAAGTTCTGGTTAGATAAAATGAAGAAGTTCATCCTTGTGAGCATGGTGAGGCACTGGAATGGGTTGCCCAGAGAAGTGGTAAATGCTTCATCCCTGGCAGTGTTCAAGACCAGGGTGGACAGAGCCTTTGGTGACATGGTCTAGAGTGAGGCATCCCTGTCCATGGTAGGGGATTGGAACTGGATGATCTTGAGGTCCTTTCCAACCCAAACCATTCTATGATACTTTTAATATATTTTTACAAATCTCAGAAGCAGGTTTTACAAAATGGTTCTAGTGTGAGTTTTTGGAATCATTACCTATCTCATGAATGTCATGTTTGCAGATGATAGCTGAGACTGTCACCCATTTATTGCCCTTAAGGTTTGGTTTTGTATTTTGAGGGTAGCAGATGTACAGATGCTTTGGCTGCATCCTTCTTCCTGTGTCCGGAAGATGCAGAGGCTCATGCCTGAATTATTAACGTTCATATAATTGTGTTGATTTACCTAATGGGCAATCATTCTGTGTAACAGCCTCCCTAAAGACAGTCATTTCAGGTTCAGTAGTAGCCAACTATAACCCTTGAGCAACAGGGGAATTTACCTTTGCTAACAGAATAAATAGGGTTTCGATCAGTCTTGCTGAATAAGTCCGTGGCACTAAGGCTTCTCTTATTAAAATTTCTTCGACTAGAGCAGATGTGGCAGTACTGGGAAATTTTAAGGAAAGTAGTAATTCCCCTTCTCCCTGTTGTTGCTTTAAAGGCTGCACCCAGACTTGAATTGACTAGAAAACTAATTGCTTTTCATTTTAAAACTAGAAGCAACTCACTGGGGATCTAATTAAAATTCCAGTGTCTGAAAGGAAATATGCCATATAAATCTGACAAAGTAGTTGCTTAAGAATTAGTAGTATCTTCTTACCAAATTGTGCAGGCTCAGAAGAGTTCGAACACCCACATGCTTTATTTCAAAATATAGAAACTCTCATTACCCAATTTGCTCAGTTACTCCAAAATCCTATTTTAGTTGTAATCTGGAAAGTTTACAGGAGATTGATGAAGATATAAAAAGGCAGTGACAGTTCATTGCTTGTTTATAACAGCATTGGGCAATGGGCTTTTTGTTCAGAAAGATCATCTTGATGCAGTAGTTTGTTGGCAATAAAGCTTGCAAATGGGAAGGCCAAGGTTCCCACCAGAACTGGCAGTCTTCCTTGCTTTGTTACTTCTACATAACCATGGAAAGGCACCAGTCCTGCTGCATTTCATCCTGATCATACTGCTAGCAAGTAAATGGTGACCCTAACCCTAGTTGGGTGCTGCTACCAGGACATGTCAGTTTATGCACCACTGAGTTGTTCTCTTTGTGGCTATTGTAGCCTTCATCCATCTTTCTTGTAGGCTTGCAGACTGTCAAACCTCTGTTTTTGCGCTGTGACCATAAGAATTAAAATGAGTCAAAGCTTAATAAATGAAGCACTAAAAAATTACCCAGTTACTGGTTTCTGGTCACTGTCTCCCCTTTCCACTTGGGATGCACTGGGTTAAATGGTACCCAGTTTTGGGTGAAGAGTTGCACTGTGTTATATTACACTGTGAACTCCTTGTTAATTCTTAACAATACAAAAGAAAACCTGCCCGAAAGAAAACAAACCTGTTGCTCAAAGCCTTTGTTTTTAATTTAGTTTGCTCTTGACGAAGCAGATTGTGGAGTGGTCTGGAATTCACTTACCTCTCCAGTTCTCTCGTCACCCATTGACACATGTTAGATCAGCCCGGGGCTGCTTTAATCTCAGCCAGCTGCTATTTTTCCCCTTGTAGACTTGTAGAGCAGATGGAGTTTGCAGGCCTGTGATGTGCTGGGGCCATCCTCACACCCCAGGAGGTATCAGCTTGTTCTCCCTCTCCTCCCTGCCTGCCCAGGCATGTATGCCAGGTGTGCACACACCTTGCTCACAGGAAGTTGCGGAGAGATGCTACTGCAGATTTTTGTGAACCATTTGCATAGATGAAGTGTGAGTGGATGTTACCTTCAACCCAGCACAGTACTTCTATGCCATTTCTGCTAAGCATAACAGTTAAGGTGTATTAATAACTTGGGTTGAAATTAATGCACCTTAAGTCTAAGTTTCAGTACAGTGCTGGATGGAACTGTAATCTCACAAACAGTCCAGGGTTGGGGGCAAGCTGAGTACCTGGTACTTCTTCTGAAGCAGAGAAAAATGCTTTGCATCTGACCCATCACTGGAGTTTTAACTTTTCAACCTGACTTTTAAAATAAATCAGTTTTATATAGGATGTAAATTTGAAAACGTTTCTGATGAGCACAGTTGTAGTATACCTTGCAGTATATTGCTTATCCAGTATCTATTTAGTTTTCCTGCTCTTATTTTAATGTTATTTTACTGTCTGTGCACAAAAAAACTGCTGTTGGCATCTATTTGCCCTGTACAATTTCTCTTTTGTGCTTGTATTAAGGATCTGAAAGAGCAAACCTCTTAAGAATATGCCTGATAGAAAGCACACTCACTGACATGAAGCTTCTAATTCATCCATAAATTTCAAAGGTTTCTGCAGTTAGTCTGTAAATGAGTCTGGCTTTCAGAATGGCTTTCTGTGAAATGGTTGCTTTTTACTTCACAATAAAATACATTGCAATATGCCACTTACCAACCATATGCTTACACATCATATGACAGAGCCCAGAGAAAACACTTCTGCCAAGAGAAAACCAAGTGTTATTTTATCCTTGCTGAATGAATTCACTGAAACTTTCATTTTCATGATAGAAGTATTGTTTCAGAAAAGTGGTAGTTAAGGTGAATGCTGATACATTATAGCCTGATCACATCTTACCTGTGTCTAGTCCTTCTATTAGTATGTGCAGTTCTTTGGTATGTCTTTTTTTTTTCCCCTCAGTGAATTTTGCATTCGGCCTTTACATAACATTGTGAACAGATACTTTGTTAGTATTTATTAGTCCCCAAACTGTCATCGATGACATTTCTAACTCAGGTTTTTCATTGAGAAATGCCAGGAAAAGCTTATATATAGAAATTACTGCAAAGTATTAGAAGACTCTGTTGTGTTTGAGTGGTAAATTACTCATCTGAAAGTAAGAAAGAGAATGTACACCTGAGATTATCTTAAAAGGAAGGAAAATACTGATACATCCATATCAGAACAGTTCTATAACAAACTAATACTCAAAGGATCACAGACTCAGAGCTCCATGTTTTCAGTTATCTGTCACAGCTTGCAGTTCGTAGTCTTTCTGCACAGTGAAAACTTACTCCATTTGTTGCAAGTGTGAATTAAATGGGTTTTGGGTGTTTTGTTTTTGTTTCCCACTTTCTCAAACAGGTAGCAGCCCTTTGGACAGTCCCAGGAACTTCTCTCCAAATGCACCTGCTCACTTTTCCTTTGTTCCTGCCCGAAGGTAAGGCAGGATCTATTCTCTTTGGACTGGCAAATAGTCTATATACTTTTAGTTAGAAATGGCCTATGGGTTGGAAGTTTTTTGATTGTGTTTTACTTTCTCTGTTTCCAATTTTATTTTATGGTTTTTGGTTTAGATCGTGGCAGCACCCAGAATGTGTTCAGTGCTTTTCAGACATAGAAAAAGATAGAAGTAAATTAAGTAGTCAGTATTCCCTAGGGACGAGACAACCTTCTCCCAGAAGGATGACATATAGGGCATGTGAGATGACAAATTGTTTAGTCATAATGACATTAAACACAGTTATGACTGGGATTATCTTATTTTAGTTGTAGTCCTGGATGATGCTCTTACTGAATAACTGAGGTGTATTCAGAATATACTGATCTCTGCTATGTCAGCACAAAGACGTAAACGTACCTAAATTTAGGCATGCACAATTGTGTGTGCCTTCATTTGCTGTCTTCCAAGTGGTAGTAACTTTATAGTTTTCCCTACTGGCTTGGGCACTGGTGTCAAGAGTACATTATTGCTCTAAGGAGAAAAATAGCTGGTAATTGAAATTCTAAGTCTGCAAGAGTGTCTAGAAGAGCAGCAGCATTGAGAGATCTGAATGTGAAGCTATCATCTATCCTGGAGCGAATGCTAGACAAATGCTGGTCACGCTGTATATCAAACTGATGGAAAGAAAGCTGATACTACAGTGATGAATTTAGTGTAAGGAATGAGATAGAAAGAATAGGGGCAGCTGGGAAAAGCAGACAAATGGTGTGTTGAATGTTGTATCCCAGCAGGTAGGGAGAAATGGATAATGATACAGAAAGTTAGATTTTTTTTTGTGGAGAAATAATGAACAGGAAAAAAGAGAGATCCCAAGTGGTTTGGGCATAGTAGCAGGGTTGTTAGTAATGTGTAGGGAAAATATTCTGGATTTGCTAACCTCTGCCTCTACAGGAAAAAAACCCCAATCTGTGTTAAAATGATCTGAGAATGGGAAATATGTGATAATCCAGAGGGGAAGCGGGCTTTCCAAAAATGACAGATTTAGCTTGAGGAGTAGTTAGAAAAATGGTAGGTCTCAAGACTTCAAAGGAGAATAAAGAGTTAGGATTTGATGAAATAAGGTACATGCTTTATCTGAACAGCAGGTAAATCCCGGAGCATTTCTCCATTGTGGTGATCTGCTAGAAGACCTGGTGTCCTTGAATACTGTTTGAAGTAGACTTTGGTCTTCAGGTCTTACATAAGAAAAAGCTGTGAAAAAATAAGAAAACTCACGCTTCACACATGTAAAATATGACAGACAGGACATGTATTTTCCTGTTGCTTCAGAGGGAAAAATCAGTGTTTTACCTGCTCATAAAACAATTCAAATGGACTCACTGCACCCATCTGTGCTTGGTCTGGGTGTATTTAAATCTCTGTTAAAATCAACTGAGTTTTTATCAGTTTTCACAGTATCTGGAGTTCTGGACCCTGGAACACAAGAGGAAAGTTGTAGCTGAAACCATTGTCAAAACTTAACATAATTTTTCAACATCCTGTTTCAAATTGATGTTTCAGTATCTTTGCTTTTCAAAATTTCAAGCAGCCAATAAAGGTTTTAATACTAAAACCCTGAAGGATGCCCTTTCACACTTCTCCACCTTTTACATCTGTTTTTTGAAAGAAATAGGTGAATAAAGTTTAAGTCTGTTCCATCAGATACTGTGGTTCATTTTACAGTATGCATGTTGCTCTCTAAGTTTTCTGTCACTGAAAAGAACACTTAAGCACAGCTCGTTTTAGAAGCTTGCTTCTATTTTCTACTGGCATTACATCCTGAATAGCTATGCCAGCAATACTGATATGTATTTATTAGGTTATCGCATAGTGGTATCAGAATAACTTCTATATGATGGTATTAAATAATTGCAATGTTGGTGCTCTGTTGCCACAGACAAATGGATATTTCACTGTACACTGATCAGTGTTGGGTGGGTTTAAAGAGGTGGTTCATACCTGATTTCCTCCTGTTGCCAGCACAGAAATGATTTGTTGATGATTTTCTGCATTTTAGATTTTGTATAATTTCTTTATTTATTACCTAGTTTCAACATCATTTGTGAATTTAATTCTTTCATTATAGCCCTGGGATGAGTTGATTCTTAGGACAGAGTAGAAAAAGCATTTGGAAGACTCATTGTGAAGCCAGTTTCACTAGAGTATACTGCAAGATTGTCCATAGTTTGATGAAATCCCGTGCTAGACACCCTTTCAGTGACTGTGTCATAGCCACAAAGTTAGCATGATGAGGAATCCTCCTGTTTGAATACAGAAATATGTGGTTAATTCTGTCCATATTCACTAGAACTGGTCTTAGTAGAATAGCAGTAACAGAAGATGAGGTTTCTTTCAGAAATCACGTGTATCTTTTATTTCTCTCTCTCTCACTGTCATTGTACAATTTCTTCCATACAGCCACGGACACAGAGCAGACAGGTAATGTGTATTGTATTGCTGCTGCTTGTGTGTGTGTATGAACTATGCTTCTGTGCAGCTGAGCCCCTGTCCCTAACGAGTTTGTGCTGTAATAACCCCATTTAGGCATTCAGTTTCTACTCTGTGGTAATCAAAACAGCCTTAAAATGATAAACAGGTAGTGCTCTAGAGAAGATGTGTTATTCTTCTAGCACCTTCTTGTTTTGAAATTGATCTACTGTTCATTAAATAGCATTTAGCTGCCATAAAAATACCTCCTTAATTAACTAATTAAAATGCCATTTTAGAGGCCAGATTTGTTGTTCACATGTTTTTATTTTATTAGCAGAGGGAGTATGATAAATAAAATTCAAGACCTAAAAAGTCTTTCCAAGTATCTTTTCTTGCAGCAGCATTGCACAAGGTCTCCCTAAAAATATGTTTATTACCAAAACACTGCAGTAACTTTGAAATGCTTTGCATAAATGAAGGAGGAATTTCCTTGTAGCCTTTTTCCCGTTGCCTTTGATTTGGAAGATTTCTACTCTTATTCCCCTTCTTTCTGCTAAACTAGAGCTGATATGCCTTGTCCTGACTGCTTAGCACATTGCTTGCCTAGATTGCATCAGCAGAAAATAGCCGAAGCATGAAGAGGTATCCTCTAATTTTCTAACAGAAAGATTTCTTTTTTCTTTAAACCATGTCAAAATGAAAGTTCTGATGTAATTTCAGTTCGCAATTTAGGCAAGTCAGTAAGAAAGGGATTAGGCTTTCCTTTTGCAAAAATTCGGTGACTTGTTTGAGACAGTAACATGCTGTCTTGCTTTGGGATTGAGGGTCCCAACTGACCTAAATGTACGTTTCAAGAAGCTCAATGAAGATCGCTGAAGTTCGGCATTGACTCACTGACCGCATCACGCAGTGACTGTGATGCTGGTATTTGTTAGTTTTCAGGGTCAAGAAAAGAATTTCATTTCTCTTGGATTTGTTTGAGATTATTCTTTTACATGTTATTGTCTTGCCAAAGAAAACCACCTGTGGCTAAATGGGGTTTAGATGTAACATACGCATGCGGTAGGAATCTGTGTTACAGCTTGATTATCTTCTTTGAAATGCATGAAGCATGAGTCTTTTTAAAAACTCCTTTGACATGAAATTCTTTCAGTGATGTAAAACAGTGAGTTTATTTCCCTCCTATTCTCAGACAGATGGCAAAGAGGAGTGCTGTGTATCGGTGCCTGAAAGTAAAAGGAACTAGATCTGTAAAAAACAGAAACAGGCATTTATGTCTGGATGTGCACTGGACTTACTTCTGAGGATGAGGTTCAATGGGTGTGGATAGTGGGATGAGAAATATTGCTGTGAGGATGCTAACAGTTGAGTTTTTAATAAGCACTAAGCACTATTTCAGACCTGTACCAAACATCCTATTCATAAGGCACTTGCAAATGTACTGTATCCACATGCACCAAAAAAAAAACCAAATCGTTCCAAAGCTAAAATGAGGAACTGTTCTGATTTATCAGCAACTGGTCATAAAGTGAAGATGATCTGTTTTAATAACAATAACAAGCCAATGGAAACAGATGTGAGGAAGAGACGTCTTTAACATCCATCCCATTGTGCCACAGGACACGTTTGTCCATTATAGGACACAAAATGTGTGCAAGACTGAAATGAAATCAGAGGCAGGAAAAGAGCTGTGAGACTGAGCTGAATGTAGTTCAGTTTCCATCCTCACCAAAGCAGGTTTTGAGGGGAGAAGAGGGTTTTGGAGAGGTCGTTACTGATTCTTCTCAAAGCAGTTGTGTAGTTCCTCAGTTTTGACATTGGTAGAACAAGGCCTTTTCTGCAGTATCTCTGGGATGTTCTGGCTGTTTTCCCTGAGCATCATGTTTCTTTGGCTGCCATAGGGAAGTAACTATTAGTGTTATATTGGCTGGAGGAGAAAGAGACCCTAGGTGAGATGTCTTTGATTTCTCTCTCTTCTGTGTTTTGAGACGACACCGTGGCACTGTTCAGGTCTGCTGTAGTGGATTTAATCCACCAGCTGTGTCAGGTGTGCTAGGCAGGATGCCTTCTGACTAACTAAACAAATGAATCCACTTTCAGTTGATTCTTGATCTAATTTGACTTCCCCCCCCCCTCAATTTTAAACTTTAATTGTGTTAAGCATGACTGTCTTTTTCAAATAAGTTTGAAATGTTTTGACTTCATTTGTCTGGTTTAGAAACCCCAGTTTTTGCACAACTAGTAACATTTACAAATCATCTACTTAATGCAGGAATCTGATGCCCATTTGCTTTATCCTTTCTAAGGTCACTTACTTTTGCTTTTAAAAACTTGCCCTAGCTGGTTTGTCACAAAGGTCATTGTAAATGGGGCACTTGATTTATCTGAATAACTTGAGACTTTAATAAAAATGTGAGGTCAAGAGATTTGGAGTTGGAAAATGTTAATTTCCCCCAAGATGGAGCCACAATATATCTCTGACAGTAATTTCCCTTACTTCTTGTCTCCAGAACGGATGGACGCCGCTGGTCCTTGGCCTCCCTTCCTTCATCTGGATATGGAACAAACACCCCCAGTTCAACAGTTTCAGTAAGTGACACAAACTTTTCCAAGCAGTTCAGTTTGTACAAATACACCCTAACAAATCAGTTTCTGAGTCTTTACTAAAATATCTTCATTTTGTTGCTAACATTATTTAATATACTAATTATTTTAAAAATTATTTTAATTATTAGTTCTTCTGCTTTTTCCTCCATTTCCCAGCTCCTACCATCTTGCACTTTGCCTTTAGCATTGGTGAAATCCCAGTGCAGCACTTGGCTCGACTGATCAGTTGAGAGGCACAATATCTCCGAAGTGGCAGGACTCTTAAGAGATAGTAAATAATTAGTAGCCAGCTCTCAGCTTTTTTTGTAACTGGGAAATGAAATTCTTGTCTGCTTTCAGGTTCTTAGTATGAAAACCACTGCTATCAGGCTAGCAGAAAGACCAGCTGATAATAAACCTCTGCTATTCAGCTGCAAGAATTTGAACCTCCTCATAAAGCTTTTCAATTCTTACACGTCATTAGAAAGGCTGGCTGCAGTTTGCTTGAGTTCTGTACTTTCAAAAGACAAGTATGTCATTACTACCAGTGAGGTAGCAGCACCCTGTTAACCCTTATAACTCTCCAGATACTTCATACAATGACTTTTATTCTTTAGTTTGTATGTACTAGATGTTGTGGTTATCCACGTAACAACATTGGAAAGGCAGGTATAGAAACATTGGAACTGTTAGGGCTGCCTGAACAGTCTTCATGAAACGCTCTTTTGTATGTGTGTTATGGTGAGTGTCTTCAACTGTGTGGTCACGTATCACTGCCTCTTTCCATAACATTTCTACTGATCATCTAGCTTTATATTTAGAATATGCTTCTAATTGCAATACCTGCATTAATTAGGACTCAATACAATACGTTATGCAAATCTTACACTGAATGCAGTATCATTGTTCTTCCTGTGAGAACAATGGTCTGTTCTATTAACTTAATCTATAAAGTTTCTAGTGCCTCTCAAACACAAATTTATCTTCGCAGTTCCTTAGGAGGCAAGTATTAAATTCAGTCTAGATAGCAAGAGAAGAAATTGTGGTCTAAAGTTTCGTGTTAGTATAAATTGGTATGATTAAGGTTTGATTTTGCAGTGTTACTCTCACCTCTATAGCTTCGTATGTTCAGATACATTTGCCCAGACTCTAGCTTGCACAGTTTCCACAATTCGTTATCTTTTGTCCTTCAAGACATTGGGGTTTTGATGGTTTTGGATTTGTTTGGGGCTTTTTTTTATTGGTCCTGTTAGAAGGCACCAAAAAAAGCAGTCTCCCGTAGGAGAAGGCTGTGGAAATCTGTAGATTCTGCTTTATTTTTTCCGTCCAAATGAGGGATGACACTTAAAAAATACACTTTTATCCTTGTCATACACATCATGAAGACCAGATACGTATCATCAAACCAACACTGAAAAAGCTGGAGAAGACCTTCTTTCAAGTTAGGTAAATGTAGAACAGTCAGTTGAATGGGCCAGTATACAGTTACATCTCATCTTCTATCCATTTTCTAGATGGAGAGTAACATATAAGCTACTACAATATTAGCTTAAATTTTTTTACTGGAGAAGAGTTGGCTAATTCTGCATCTGTAATTAAGACACTTGAGGATGTTCGTATTAGTCTGCTGCAAGTATTGAATACAGGGGTGTAATTACTTAAAAATCAATACTTCAGAAAGGTTTCACTTTGCTTTCACACTTTTTTATTGGAAGATTGTATGCCTTAAGATTGCTAGAGAAGCCCTTGGCAGAAGAAGGTCCATTTCTCATCATCTCTATCTTCAGGTCTTTATCTTTGGGGCTTTCTTTAGTTATACTCTGGAATTACGGACTTTGTGATCTGATTGCCTTTAAGGAGAGAAAGTAGAGAGAGGATTTTGTTTGGTCACCCATGAGTTGACTAGCACTGCTTTCCCATGAATTTTGCTGTTGAAAGAGATAAAGTTTTTAATGCTTTCTCTAGACTGTCAGTTTTGATTTTTTTCTAATGCCAGTGTTTTCTAATGTGCTAACTTCCCTTAATGTGGTAGGTTTAGCTTAAATTTGTTTTGACTAAGATGCGTATTTGTAATGCCAGAACTTGAGTACCTGCTAATGCAGGTTTGTAACACTCTGTCTTTAGTAGTTCCTGCTCTGTTGACATAAGCAGTGTGCACAGCAGGATAGCTGTGAGCAAAGGGGCTGTCAGAAACTCAGCCTCTTCATCTTGGCTTCAGTGTGGATTAGGCCAGTGTAAGCTGATACACATTCCATATAATCATCACTGTGTGGACACTGTGCTGGAGATGACTTCCCAACATAATCCCTGCACCGAGACCTGCCTGAAGAAAAACTTATGAAGTGGCAGCTTCCAGTTCCAGCCACACCTGGGGAGCTCATGCATATCCCAAGGCTTTCAGGGGAGTTCTTTTCTGTAAAAAACTCTGTGCAGTGCAGAGGGAGTAGATCTGGGATCTGGAGCCAATCCAGTTACATTTTTATTAAAGAATATGGTCTTCAGGTTTGTAAGTTCTCACATTCAGATGTCCGTCTCAATCCTGGCTGGAATTCTTCAGGATCTGCAGCAATCTGCTTAGTTTTAATTCATTTCAAGTGTAGCTGTTACCTTGATAAATTTGAATGTACCTGATTTAGGTGATTTCAGAGTATTTCCTCTTTGCTATCAGTATTACAGACATGCAGGACTCAGTGAAAAGCTTTGTCAGCATCTGGCTTTCATTGCTTGGCCATACGTCTTAGCTTTCGTTTCCAAAAGCCATCAACAGCAAATAAGTCTAGTGAAGCACGCTAGAAAAGTTAAAGCTTGCCATACATTTTATATAATGTATAATTACCTGGTACCAATACTTCTGGTGCTAGGATACAGTCCTTTCCAGTTTGAGGGAGGGTCATTGTAGCAAAAGGAAACGTTTTTTCCATGTTTTTCCCTATTAGATAAGTAAGGAGCCTTGGAACTTAGGTTAGGATGATGTTTTTAGTAAAGCCCATTGGTGTTACTCAGTGCTACTCTGGTTATTCAGCACTTTTTCTTCCCCCCCCCCCCCCCCCCCCGCTTTTAAGGGTGATTTTTAATTTGTCCTTACATAATGTATTATCTTCTGTAAAATGGAAAGGGGCATTGAAAAATCACACAAGAAAAAAAGGCATTTGCTAGTTGACCTACAGCTTTTTCCCCTGAAACATCCAACGTTTGATGTTATTAAAACTTCCCACAGATATTTGTTTCAATCTCAGGTTTCTTGAGGTTCCAAGGATTAAAGCAATTTCATGTTGTTTTGTTATCACAGGATGTGTCATATTTAAAGATGAATAAGCTAACTCTTTAACGAGAGAGTCTGTTAATCTTACAACTCTGCAAAGTCAGCTATCTACATTTTGTTACTGTCTTTATTGTTAGAGAAGAAGCCTGATAGGTAAAGGAAGGGAGAAATAAAATCCTGACTGTTTACAATAGCAGTTCCCAATGAGAGCAAATAATCAGCAAAAACTCTCATGTCTACACAGCTCCATAGCATTCTGCATGCCAGTGAAACTCCTGAGCTAAGAGAGCATGAGGGAAAAGGAAAGAAAGTTGCTCACCACTCCAGGAACCTCCTTGGCTTTTCCAGAGTAGCACTGGTACTCATGTACCTTCCTTTCTTTCTCCTCATAGTAAATTACTTTCATGATCAGATGTAACAGTTCCAGAATCAGATGCAATGGTTCCCTAGCCTTCTCTCAAAAGTTTTCCTGATCTCACCAGCTCTGTCATTATATGGAAGGATTGGATTAGCCTAATGAGAACAATAAAAAGAGGCACCTGGTCTGATAAATAGCTTTCTTTTCCGCTGGAGTGTGCAGTGTCCTGCAGAATCCGTTCCTCTTCCATTCATTAGCTGACCCCTATGCATGCGTTTAGTGCATTTCTTTTCTGTATTTTTTTCTGTACTCAGTCATCATGCTCATCTCAGGAGAAGCTGCACCAGCTGCCCTTTCAGCCCACGGCAGATGAACTTCATTTCCTGACAAAGCATTTCAGCACTGAGAGCATCACTGATGAGGAAGGGCGCCATTCTCCAGCCTTGAGGCCTCGGTCTCGCAGTCTCAGGTGAGCTTCAGGTTGTTTGTTGAATGTTTAAGATATTGGATGCATGTGTTGCATTTCTGTGTGTGTGCTTTCAGATCTGAGAAAAGTCATTGTAGTTTTGTTGCATAGTTTTGAAACATGTAAGTCACCTAATCAGAAAGGGTATAAATTTTGTACATTTGATGCTGAGGGTTTGGGTTGCAAAATGGTTAGCAGTGTCTGCTTTTGTATCTTCACAATAACTCTATGAAAACATGATCCACAAGCGTCTCGGGCTAAATCTACAGGGTAGATTCCCTTTAGTGAAGTTTCATCTCAGAATTTTGCTGCGTGAGTGTAAGGAAGTGGTTACAGTCACTGTTAATAACTTTTCCAGCAGTGCTTCTGAAGGGTTGTGAAAACTAGAGTAGGTCAAGTCAAAACCTTAAATTGAATTGCACCCAAGAGGAATTTTGTAATAGTGCTGAAAACATTTCTCCTGCATTAGCAGTTGAATAATTTTTATGGTTGCTTTGGAGAGCTGGTTATTCAACAATAGCTTTCCAGGGGTTATTTCCTTGTGCAGCTGATTTTTCCGTACTTAAAACCAGAAGCAGCTAGAACCTCATCTTTCACAGTATTACAGAATGACTGAGGTTGGAAAGGATCTCTGGAGGTCATCTTGTCCAAGCCCCTGCTTAAGCAGATTGCCCAGGACCATGTCCAGATGGCTGTTGAATATCTCCAAGGACAGAGATTCTACAACCTCTCTGGGCAATCTTTCTTGCAAGCCTCAACAAATTTGTGGAATAAATCAACAAACATTTCGTATCATGGCAAAAGCCTTAAGCTTTGCTATGCATTTAGTGGGGGACCAAGTGAGTGAAAGTGTAGAAGTGTGTACCTCTAGACACAGCATCTTGTGAAAGAAAAAGGATTTATACAAGTAGGGGACAAGGAGGTGAGGTCTGCCTTGTTCTCATCTGAGGGTGTCAGAGGTGGATATCACCTTTAAATTAGTGGGCAGGATTCAGAAACTGTCAGCTGGAAATACTGAATCAGTGTGCCCAGCTCAGGACCTAGGCCAGGGTTTGTGATAGGGTGTGAAACAGGCCAAGATAACAAAAAACCTCCATGGTGAGTATTGTGTCATGGCAGAGCTAACCTTTCATGATTATTCGTAATTATTTGTGTGTTCTAAACTTCAGTGCAGGCTGCATGGTAATTGCATATGGATCTACTAAGTGTAGTTACACAGTAATCTACAGGAATAGGTAAGTACTATAGGTAGTAGCACACTTAGCCTGTGATCTCTGCGAATTGCCATGTCCTAAGACTAGTCATATGATTTGTACTAAGTCTCTTTGAACAATAGTCCTACTTCAGACCTGCTGCACTCTTTAATGCTATTGCTGAGTAGCGTAACTGCAGTAGTACTAATTCCTTATAGATAAGACAGCTAGTGTAGGTAGACAACACTTCACTAAAGTAATTATAGTCCTTTCTAACACAGACATTTTACTGTCGCCATAATGAAGCATGAGACACCCTTGTTAATGCAAGAATGATATAAACAATAAAATGAAGAGCCTGATTTTAATTTTTTCCTTTTTAATATGGATTAGCAGCTTGCTGGAATTTTACCTTTGTGAGCCAATTTAAAAGCAGAGTTATCATATAGTAGGTTTATAATTTGTGACGAGACTAGATTAATTCAGTGTGTCATACATCTATGATTAATCTCCCTCCTCTCTTGAATGCTTTCTGTAGCTCTCTGGTTTTCAGTGTGATAATGGCCAGCCTTATTAGTATGCCAGAGATTAGAATGAAGTAGTTTAATTTTTTTAAACTTACTGTGCCTGATTTGTTTTTCATTTTGCTTATTGCTAGCACTGTGGCACTGTGTGGCTCTAAAGCACCCTTGCCACTCCCAAGCATTCATGCTGGCCCTTGCACATCAAGGGGAAATCGGTACGTCAATGTGACCAATTGGAGCAGTGTTTGCAGGAGTAAATACCCTTTTTGACAGAGGGTTGTGTGTCCTTGTAAACAAACAAGTACTGAAATATGTGAAAACCAGACCTTATTCACTGCACAGATTGCTTTTGTGTTTGCCCACACGATAAAGTTGGCTCACTCGGTGAGAGGATATTTTTACTTACTTCAAAAATGAAAAAATAAAATCTGAGCTGTTAATTAGTTCAAAGTTAAGCAGGAATTTTCTAAAAATGTAGTATTTCCATAAGCGTTTAATGGGCTAATTTGATCTGCTGTAATGGGAAGCAGATGAACAAAATACATCAGATGTTCTTCTTAATTGGTAGTCATAGCTTTGTAATTTAAAAGATGGTCTGATATTTATGACTGACTGTTAACATGTATTCATTTTTCATCCTTTATGACTGCAAACTTACATCTCTCTTTATAGAGGGGAACTGGTATTTTGAGATGCCACTGTCAAATGCTTGGACTACTATTTTTGAGAGTCTCCTTTTCAGAAGTATCAGATGATCCTTTTCTGCTTCTGGACAGAGGAGAGTATTGCCTAGATGTAACTCCTGACAAAATCTACTTTGACTAGAAATTTACCATTTTCTTGTACCTAGCTGCAAATGTTCTGTTCATACAGAGCAGTTTTAATGGTCAAAGTGGATGGAAAAAGTAACAAAGCGTGCAGTTGTGGAAGATAGCACTGGTGACAAGTTGATAGCACCTCCATTGGTGAGGTGTCTGCCAGTGAGGCCTGAAGATACTCTAAATTCTACACCAAAGAAGTGGCACTGGTTCTTTTCCAGCTGCTCTCTTACACAGGGATAAGGAGGTAGCCTGAGACCAGCACTGGAATCCAGAAGTGTGACATGCTTTTGAAGCCTAGTTCCTAAAGCCAGAAGACTGTTCTTTCATCCATCTCCAGTAGATCCAGTACTTATATGCTAAACAAAAGAACATATTTCTGTGTGACCCACCTGTTTTGGTGCTTACAAGGTGTCTTCAGTGGAAGAGAGTGTTTCTTTATTACCTGCAGATGTAGTTCCTAAATATAAGCTCTTGACCTCTTTTTTCTGTGTGTGTGTTTTGCAGCCTTCAATTCCTCCAAGTTATTGAGCAATAGAGATGCTCAGACTACATTCACTTCATTAAAACAGTCTTGGGCTTACCCTGGAAAAGATCTTTTCTTCCAGGAGTGAAATGCATGGAGGGTGGATTCTTGCACCAAACTTTGCATCATTACTCGTTTTTTTAAGTTGAGAGATGCTGCCCTCCATCTTTTCCCAGTTCTCTTTACTTGACATTTTGCTAACACATGGGAATGCATGGAGAATGTCAGAGATAAAAGTAGAGTTAACTAATAACAACTTCTTCAGGAGCTGCCTTTGTGCAGTCACTCAGCCCACCAATCTGCCCGTTTTTCTTGATCTCTTTTTCTGTTTCAGCATAATGTTGTCTAGGGAGAAAAGGGTTGAAGATCGTAGCAGTGAATTTTTATGTAGTTGAAATAGATGAGATCATCCTTAATCAAATATGCTCCTTCATCTCTTTGCTGGATAGTGCTTTTTAAATGCAGTCTTCCAACCTGACTTTTGACATACTAGATCCTGCCATTAATATACAGAGACAATCCTCAGAAAATACCTGTTGCCAAAATGGGCATCTGACAAAAAGATACCCAAGATGGGAAGAAGGTGTGTGGGGCCATGCCAGTGGCCCCCATAGTCCATTTTTATCTTAAAATCTGATCCTGCAGGTTGTGGAGCTCTCTCACCTCACTGCGCTTAAGCATCAGCTTTAACTGCTTGAGGAACCTTGGTGGTTTCATCCCTTCACGCTGCTGGTTTTGGAAGGTGCTGTCTGCCACAAGCTGCAGAGAAGCAGGCAGTGCTCCCTGCAGAACAGGGATTCACCCAGCTATGGGTTTGCCAGAGGAGAATAGTTTTATATTCTGAAGCATAAGGCATCTGTTGCTTACGGAACTACTTTCTAACTACATTACAGATAACGATGGTCTCAGATTTCTCTTTCAAGACAATGAGTTCTATGGACTTGATTTTAAAAAGTTCTTCAAAGTGATAGCTTGCAAATTTGTTCCTTTCTGGTTTCACTCACTGTCTTTATGGTTTTCTGTTAATTGGAAAACTGGATATTCTTAGTTATGCTGTGTACTGCTTATGAGCTTAACTTTCTAGTGTTTCGTGTCTAAAGCAGCTTCGGTCTCTGCTGGCATGCATAAAAAACCCTGAAGTATTGGAAAGAGCTAGTTGCAGCCCCTAGTCTGTAGGACAAACTCATTGGTCCTTACTTTCAAAGAGGCTGTGATTGAAATGTATTCCCCTTCCCGTAATGTTGTCATAGAATCACAGAATAGTTAGGGTTGGAAAGGACCTCAGGATCATCCAGTTCCAGCCCCCCTGCCATGGGCAGGGACACCTCACACTAAACCATCTCACCCAAGGCTCGCTCCAGCCTGGCCTTGAACACTGCCAGGGCTGGAGCATTCACAGCTTCCTTGGGCAACCCATTCCAGTGCCTCACCACCCTCACAGTAAAAGAGTTCCTCCTTATATCCAATCTAAACTTCCCCTGTTTAAGTTTTAACCCATGTGTACTTACCTCTTTATTGTTTGCTAATTTATTATTTATATATACAGATATTTAGAAAATCCCCTGCTTAGCTTGTCACTAGGATCAACATTCATAAGAATGTTACTCCTATTATAGAGAAGAGCTGACCTGGAAAACAGTTCCCTGATACAAAACCAATCACAAATAGTGTTTGTCTGCAGATTAAATGTATCCGAAGCTCATGCTTGTAAAAATGAATTAAAGAAATCAAAAAGTATGTTAAAACTCAGAAATTTCTTTTCAAAGTGCTTGATGAGAAAGCCTGTTTTCTCTTTCACTGTTTGCCTGCCTCAGATCCCCCTTTTTCTAGCAGCACTAGAATAACTGCTCAGTGTGGACTTCTGTGCTCCTTGGTTATGATTATGCAGGCAGAGGGAACCTTTAAATAAAGACTGAAAAATAATCCAAAGTTACATTTAATTTTCTACATGGTTTCCTTCATTGTATAGGTTGCTGTAATTCTGTGGGAAACTGCATTTCACTATTACTGTGCATGTTGCATCAACTCGGACTTCAGCAGATCCTGTAGATCCTGCTCTGCTGAATTCAGTTCTCCTTTGGTCATTGTCCTTTCCAGAAACAGGATTAGGCCTCAGGGTCTAGTTGTGGTCTGTATGAAGCACTGAGCCGTGTTTGCTCTGAAGTTTCGTGGACTTTTTGACGTAGATTGTCCATATTTGCTTCTCCTTCATTTTCTTCTTTTTCCAGGGGGAGTTTTCTGACTTACTTCTAGTATTAATTAATTTGAATGAGGTCAAAGATTTATGTGTTTGTTTCTTGGGGGAAGAGGAAAGCCGATACTCTGCTCACCTTCAGGAGAAGGTTTAACTTAGTTTCTACTTCATACAACTTTGGCTCTCTAGTTCTGAATTCCTTATTTATGGAGATCAGAAACTTAAGGCTACGGTTTTAATTTTCCTACGGACATTGGATTTGGTAACATGCTGTAAATACATCCTCATTAAACCTTTACGTGCAGTCTAGAAGCAGTGGGGAGCACGGTGCTTTTAGCTCCTCTGCTTTTTCCTGATAAATACAGCTGTCACAGTGAAGGAAAAATTAGGTATTCATAAACACCTCAGTTCTATTCAGTCACAGTTAAACTAGGTTTTGTAAGATTTAACTTATTACTATAAATGCTGCTCCTTCCAATAGCTGTCTATAAGCTATTTTCACTCTCTAGCATCAGGTAAAGACACATGAGTTTTGACAAGTTGAAGGCTAGAGACCTTTGTGGGAGATAGATGTCACTGAAAGTCTATCACCACATCATTTCCTAAAGTGGAGGGAGGGTGAAGAAGGGGAAAAGAGAGTAGTTTTTCATTCTGCTGTTAAGCTGAAGGAGACGGATATTATTCTTCTAATGTCTGCTCCACTGAAATGAAAAACACACTGACAATAATCATTTCTTTGACCTACCTATCTACACCCAGAGAAGCAGCCTGCTTTATATCTTAAAATGTTATGCACATGCACAGTCTGTGTCCTCTGTTTTAGAGGAAATCATCTGTTCCTTTGTGAGGCTTGAAATGGTTGTCTGGTTTAGTTCTGTACGTGAAATTTTTGGTGGTAGATAGATCATAGAATCATAGAATAGTTTGGGTTGGAGAGGACCTTAAGATCATCCAGTTCCAAACCCCGCTGCCGTGGGCAGGGACACCGCACACTAAAATGTGACACATAGATGTGTGAAGCCCTTGCATTTGAGAAGCTTTCATGCCAATAAAAGGTATTAAACTCCTGTTTTCATTCTTTTTCTAAGTTTCCTTACGTGGCATTCAGTTGCTTGCCCAGATTTAGTTATCAGTCCTGGTTTCTTTCTCGCCTGGTTGTGTCTCAGAGGTGCTGTAAAGTAATCAGCAGTGCCTGGCCTTTGGTTAGTTAGTGTCCCTCTAATTATTTCTGTAGATTCCCAGGCTAAGGATCAACATAAAAAATTACGGTGCAGTATATTATGTTGCAGTCTTGCTCTAGTCAGCTAGACTTTTAATTTGACCTGTTACACTGGGCAGATTTATTTAGAATGACAGTTTGAACCTCGATCCTAGGTTTTATCCAGAGTTGTTTGGACGCGCTGTTGTTTTAGGTTGCAAAAGGTGGCATCAATCAGCTTCCAAAACTGCCAGTCCCCCCAAGGAACGTAAAGGGATCAGAAGTGTTTACTTTATAGCCAATCCCTAGACTCTACTTTGTTTCAGAATCATAAAAACCAAACCCAAACCCAATAAACTCCTGTATCATTGTGGCTCTCCTTAAGGAAACACTACATCTCCTGGCAGGACAGCTTAAGTAGCATGATTTCTGCAGAGCTCTTAATTTCCTGTATCCATACAAATAAAAGCAAAAGGCAAAACCCTTCATATTTTATTGTAGCCCTAAGACAGCAAATACTTAAGCAAGCACAAATTTTAGTAGGACTACTTTAATGTTAAAATGAGGTATGCATGTGCCTCTGTATTTCTGTAGTTAGTATCAAAGGGCTAAATATATCCTTGTAATTTATACCTCACTTAAATCACGCAGGGAAATAATACATTATATAAAAATAAATTCTTCAATAACTATATTTGCCAAGTTCTTCAGCTCCATATGGACCGCCAGTAAACAAGTGTCCTGTGTTTGTGTCAGATGGTTTGGTCTGGGAGAAAAAAGGATAAAGATAACAGGCTAGATTTGGGAGAGGATTTGTTTGCAAGTCTGGAATTTAAATGTTCTTTTATTCTTTTTATTATGTCATTCCCTCTGAATATAAATGTAAATTTCTTTTTTAAAGCAAATGCTCCTTGCTTAAAATTAGCCATGTACCAAGTGAAGGGATAGATTTTCTTCAAAACAAGTTGATGAAAATGTATTTTTACCTGGTATTCAAAACATACAAATCAGATTTTCTCCTTTAACGTAAAGATTTAGTGAGAGATTTAATCTGAAGTGAATTTTCCCAAGCTGAGGGATAAGCCTTAATAAAAACAAGACACAATGTATTTCATGGAATTCCAGCACCAAGCATGAAGAGAGATTGGTATTGCTGTATGCTTTGAGCCAGCGAGTTAAATTTTCTTTGTATTGTAAATATATGTTCCCAAAAGAATGTTTTTTTCCTTTAAATAGGTTAGCAGCAAGGTAGAAACTGTAATTCATTCCAAGTTTAAAATGCATTTATTCCATTTAGAGAGATTCACTTCATCCTTCACAAGAAAGTTTAAAATGTTTGAACTCATTCAAGACAAAATCATATTTTTTTGGCATAGAGGAAATATTTTTAGTAACATGTAGTACTCCTGAAATCATAAAGACAACAATCTTGTAAGATGCCAAATAATTGAGGCCCTTGCTTGTCTTGATCATTAAAACAAGGTAACTGGAGAAATGAGATGCTGTAGGCGATCCTGTAGTGAGGGATTATCTGCATTACCTCATCCGGCTGTCCTCAGTGGCAGCATGAGTCAGAGCACTGCGTACCATCAGATGTGATGAAATGAGATGCAACTCTGCTTGAAAAAACCCACCCAAACAGTAATATAAGTGCAGTTTGTCAAGATTTAGTGTCCTGTTTTTTTTTGGTGTGCCTTGAAGTCGCTGGCTAATCTATGCATACGTGCGCATGCATCCACAGTGTAACATGCCTCAAGGGAGTGCAGTTTTCATAGAAATATTATGTTCTTATTGTTGGTGGTATTTGTATATAAGAGTAAGCTGAATAGCACTGCTCATGCATCCTTTCTGTAGTGTGGTATCCTTCAGACAAAGGAAAGCAAGTCATCCCAAGTTCCTTGTTTCGGTTTACTCTGCTCCCTTCTGGCACTAGAGACTAGAGACAGCAGTGATTTCTTTCTGAGCAGGGCTGCTACCTCTGCCAGGGAGGGCAGTAAGAAGAGAACAAGGGGAATATCAGCAACAAATGCACTGAGGTTTTGTGCGCTGCTTGTATGTTAGGGTTTGCATTCAGTGAAAATAGGTGAGTTTCTGCTTGAGTTCATGTGAAGACAGGAACGTTAGCAGCTTTCAGATACTATAGACTGCCACTGCTTGCTAGCATTTTCTCTCAATTTAAGCATCTGCCCATTACTGAGGTAAAAGCTTTGGAAGGGCTGCAGTCAGTGTGGCAGCATTATGACCATCAGTGGATTTTGGAGGGTTTTGATGTGATATCTATAAATGATAACATGCTTTCTTTTCTCCTCTAGCCCGGGTCGCTCCCCAATTTCCTTTGACAGTGAAATAATAATGATGAATCATGTGTACAAAGAAAGGTTTCCAAAGGTAAAGAATCACTTTTTCAATACTGCATTCAATGAACTTGTGACCAAGCTCAGAATTAACGTGGTGCTTGTTGGAGAAGGAGCCCAGCTCCTACATCCCATTTCCAAGCAGCGCAGTTTGCTGAGAGTTTGAAGCTGCTTTCTCTGCTTCGTGTGTTAATTCTGTAGTAGAAGAAATAGATTGAATGGAGAGATTCAAATGGAAAGGGTGAAAAGCTTTATGGTTTTGTGTATGTATTTCATATTTACTAGATTTCTCCTGTCTTGTAATGGGATGACACATGCTCACAAGAGTAAAGAGAAGGGCCATGCTTTGGCTCTCCATATATTTTTAAGAAATCCATGGGTTTTTATTTAAATTTTGAATCACATCAAGGCTGAAAGAGGGAGGTTTTGTTTATTTTCATATATACTTAAAAAAGCTATTTTAAAAAGCCATTTCAAAATAAGTTTAATACCATTCTCTCAGATTTCCTTATATAACTGCTTTGAATTTGCTTTATACTGATCCAAACTTCTTTGGTTTTGGTGGACTTTCCATTTACATATTGGAAATGCAGGGTTTTCTTTTAAAATCATTCCAAATTATAGTGGAGGTTTTGGCAATAATCACATTTGCCCCTTGGCCTCTTGGTACCAGAGAAACAATGAAGATAGATTTGGATTTTAGAAAGTCAATCCCAATTCAGTTACATTGAAAAAACTCCAACAGTTTCTGAAAAAAGCTGCATATTGAAGCCTGTAAAATAAAGCATTGAAAATAACATCTCATTGCAGTGAGTGTAGAAGATTGACATCTCACTGAAATGAGTTTAGAAGATCATGTATCCCACAGCTGTCGATACGGCCATTCCTTCCTGTTCCTGTACCAATAGGAAAAATAGATGTTTCTCTGGAGACAGGATATCAGGGCTTATAGTGATAGAAATGTGTCTATTGCTTGGGGCAGTGATTTTTAGCTTCCCTGGTCTTGTCTAAAAGGTCTGAAAGCTGCTCCGTATCGTATGTCCTTACTCTGGAGACCCAGGGAGGAATTTCAGCCTCAGCACCAAGATATTTTTATGGTCATTTGCATTTTCAGAAAGTGTGTTCTGATTAATATTTGTTGTCTGCTCATGTGCACGTAACTTTTGCCTAGGGAATGCTATTTAAATTCTCAGCAAAATGCTATTGTATTTTGGAATATTTTTAAAGCCTCTTGTGTTTTGGAATTGCAAGTATGTTACTTTAGCACCCGATTTGTTTATGGTTTTAAGTTCTGGGATAGTAATTTCTCTTTATTCTGTACTCTTAGGCCACGGCACAGATGGAAGAGCGGCTGGCTGAGTTTATTGCCTCTAATGCTCCAGAGAACGTGCTGCAATTAGCAGATGGGGTCCTAAGTTTCATTCATCATCAAGTTATTGAACTGGCCAGAGATTGCCTAGATAAATCACGTGAAGGTCTTATTACTTCTCGGTACTTTTATGAGCTGCAGGAAAACTTGGAGAAACTTCTCCAGGATGTAAGTGCTCTCTGGAAAGTGGAATATATTGTTTTGATTGAAACTTTAAATAATAGCCAGAGCTTTGATTTTAGGAGAGACAGTGTGGATTCTGAGGGAAGGGCAGTGGGTGGGGATGTCAGGAGATCCGAGTTGTTCCAGTCTGCTGTTGATTTGCCATGGGCAGATGTGAGTAAATCACTTCACCTGTGTACTTAGTTTGTACAAGTTAAATATGCATATGAGTAAGTCAAAGGAAGTCTTTGCCATTTATGAAAATTGGGTTCATCCAGATGAAGGAAATTACTGAACTTTTCTTTCATGTACTTCAAACCTCTGAATGACTTATTAATTACAATAGTGCCTTCAAGGAGTGAAAACACCATAGTTTGTAGTGTTGCTATAAATTTTTCATAGAAGGTTTTCTTGAGCTGAACTTAATCCGGTTGTGGGGTTTTTAGTACTTCAATGCGTTGTGTGGTGTTCAAAGCATAGGAAAATACACAAGGGGGCACAATTTTAATGCATGCTCAGTGTGCTTCAGCTGCTCATTAAAAATTGCTCTTTTCCTTTAAAATGAAAACAACATTGAATTAAAAATATCTCTCAGAATTCATGTTATAGCTGTTGTGAAGAGTCAGTGCTATTACCAGTTGCTGGTTCCTGACCTCCATTTGGGAATGTTTCCCTAACCCTCTGCTTTGATTTAAGGAGATAGCAAGCTGAAAACACAGGATTTACAAAGATTGCAGTCTCAGATAACAGAGACACCTAGAAACAGAACACATGAAATAACTACTTTTCTGTGATGCTTTTTAATCTATTTGGTGAAGGTGTATTTATGTGTCATTGATCAGTTTGCCAATCGCAGGCATGAATCGCCATGGTTTGTGCCCCTTTGCCACTCTTTTCAGACATTAGAAAATGGCAGATAAATAAAACTGCAATTTTAATATGCAATTATTGTATTAAAAAGCTTTGTGAACCTTCCCTTGTATCAGCTAAAATCTCTGACTACCCTTTTTATATGAGTGTGGCTGCAATTTCCCTGATATTTGGTATGCATGGGAGAAAAATGCCTGATGTTTGGTTTTGTGGTGTTCTGCCTGGATGGGGAAAAGTAATTTTGGCACATCAAGGGAGGTAGGGAATATCTTTTGAGGCCTTGTTGGTTGTCTAACTATGGGATATCAGTAACCACTGTGGATGCATTTAATAGTAAAATATGTGTTTCCTAGTAAAAGTGGTGTTCCTTGGATGCTGTGCAAGAGTTTGACCATTGATGCCACTGTCCAGTGCGGAGAAACTGCATCTTGTGGAAGAAACTGTTCAGTATTTGCAGTCTTTAGGAGACAGGAAGATGTTTCTGAAGTAGAAAGTGGCAGTGTAGCCTTCCTGGGCAGAATAAACACCCAGCCCAGCAGCGGCTGGCAGAGGCATGTGAGCAGCCCTGGATGTAAGGGGCGGGCAGTGTAAAGGGGAGATGGGGGTATGCAGCCAGATAAGTGTCAGTGGGTCCACCTTGTATCTCCAGAGCCTGGAAGCAGCGTGTTTGCATGCATCAGCTATGAAATAAGGGATTAGGCCTCTTTGGGTAGTGTTTTTAAAGCTGGAAAGATTACACTTGAAGTGAGTATGTGTGCTCAGCAAAACAGCTTACATTTCAAGGGGTGCAAGGGGACTACAGAGTGTTTAGCTGCTTTTGGTAGCAGATACTTGGAGCTTGAAATTCTCCAAGACTTTCCTTCTCTGTGTGTGGACAATGATTTCTCATACCATAAGGAATTAAGAGAGCAATAAATTGGGTATAGCCACTTCTGGGCTGTACTTCCAGGCCTGTGTTCTGACCTGAAGACATTAATCAGGATCTTTGAGAAGGTCTGGTCAGATAAATCTACTTGTTCCTTTCCTCTCCCCTTTCTCAGAACAAATCCTCAAAACACACTTCTTAAATGTCCTTTTCCCCTTGATCCTACATGCATTAAGCTGCTGCTCCTAAGCGCGGGGAAGGATGACATTGAACTGTTATTAGAGACGATATGATAGTTGTCTTTGGGCTTGTTCATGAATAGATGTTCAGGGCTCTCTCTTTGACCTCTTCCTCCTTAACTTCTGCAGAGTGGGGCTGAGAGAAGGGTCAGTTCTTAAGTTGAATTGATTTACTTTAGGAAGTAAAGTGGGGAAGACACAATTAAAAGGAAAGCTTAGAAACAAGGGAGGCAGAACAGGCTGGGAAAGAAGACAAGGAAATTAAAGACAGCAGAGAAATGTCAAAGACTTCATTCTGTACCTTTCTCATTTGTTTTTAATGTCCTGTCGTAATTCCTTGGCTTTTCAGTATTTTAATATTTAAAAGCTACTTGTTTTCCCCTGCTTGCCAGTCTGTGCTCTGCCCTCCAGACTGCATTCTGAAAGGAAGTAATTGGCACAGTTCATCCTAAATATATAGAAATTGGTGGGAATATTTCTTTTGGAGGACCCACCTGAAACACAGGAAGTTTGGAGTCAAGTTTAGATGATTCCAAATTTGAGGGTCTTTGCTTAGCTTGTAAGGTATCGCACAGAGCTACCTGCTATATAAATAATACCAGCTGGAAGCTTATCAAAAAAGCTCTTCCACTTGGGCAGTTTTATTGTGCAGTGGGATATGTAGTTTTATAGTATATTTTTATAACATACAGAAAGACTGGGAAGATGGTTTATTGGTGAATAATGAGGTCAGCAGGTGGCAGGAATATCCACAGACTTTCATATAGTTTTACTGTGAAAGAATGGATTCTCTTGACATTCTTTTTAAGGGGCCAGTTGTGACACACGCTAACAAACTAAACTTGCACAGTATTTCAAACCATAGAAAAGAAACCTGATGCAATATGTTGCGGTTTGAGTCTACTTTATGTTGTAGGAATACAACAGAGTAATTGGGTATGTAAATAATGAGCTGTTTATATATACCAAACCAGAAAGCTTTTAAAAGTTTTTAGATCCTGGCTTTTGTAATAAAATGCCAACAAATCCCGTTAGTTATGGCAAATGAGATCTTCTGCCTTGTTTGGAGCATGAAATAATGTCTTTTAGCCAGAAAAAAAAACCCTATTGCTTATTATGTCATTGAAATTATCCTGAAGTAAAAATGAATAAGGTATTTTCTTTATTTTGGAAAACATGAACTTGAATGTTGCACTTCACACGGTAAAAATATTGAAAAATAAGATAAAACACTTAATAAAAAGATTCTGTAATATGTAGCATTCAGTTCTGTATCTGCTACCATTGGGGGTGGCCTTAGAGGGTGGGATAGGACCTCAGGTCACTGGGGGGGAAAAAGACTGTTAGTCAGTTATTACTTGGCTGAATTAACAAGATAAAACTGGCCAAAAGAAATTTAAAGGCTTTTGCATAGGTGTAGCCAATTGGTGAGGAAGGTGAAGGATTACAGGTGTTTCTGTGCATGGAACAGAAGGAACAGGGAAAAGTATTAGTATTACACTGCAGTGACTGATGCTGCACATTGGCAAATGGATATTCTGATTGGGATTGATGTCTTAATATGAGCCCGAGTGTAAATTTATTGGTTCTTGGCATTGCAGGTCTATTGTTTTGGTTTCCATCAGTATATTAGCTTAATTACAGCGTTGTGAGTTGCATATCCCAGTTATTGGTCCTGCTGAACCCGAGGGGAGGACAGTGATTTTAATTTCATGCCCCAGTAGCTACAGTTAGTGACGGATGGGTCTTTCAGATAAGGGAATCGGTTTGTAAATTACCCGTTGCTACCTCCTGTACACCTGTCACTGGCAATGTGTGCAGGAATGGCATCAGCCTCTACCCACAGCCCCTATAGCTTCTCCCTCCTCCCCTTGGGAGGCGGGAGGGGAGGAAACCCTGAAATGCCACCAGCAACCTTCAGACAAGCGTGTCGTCACTGGGAAGCGGTGATGAGATGGCACGCCTCATGCCAAGGCACATGGAAGCTGCAGGCAGTGCTTGGCTGTATAACCCTCTGGTTTCCACACGCTGTCCTCGGGACAGATTGCGCACAAAGACGTCTGTAGGGATGTCCGGGCTGTCCTGTGCGAGAAGGAAACAAGAAGAGGCAGTTTTGCTGAGGATCTTGGAAGAGCAGCGCTCTGCAGAGATGATGGCTGAGTGGCTGTTACAAGTTGTGTTTGATTATTTTATCCTTTTGCTTTTCTATATCATTTGGCAGTCATGGTTTGGCTTTTCGTTTCCAAAACGGGCACCTGATGAAATTAGTTACATTTTGAAAAGGAGAAAACAAAAGGACTTGATTTAAAAGATTGTTTAACAGTACAAACGGATGCAAACTGATGAATGATTGGTATTTTTGTGTAATATAACATATAGGGGGAAAAGGACTTTCCAGTTGCATGGCTCATTTTTCAAATGATACAAGGTTGTTGATGTTATTTATTCATTTCAGCACAGCTAACCCCTGGTGATCTGGAATGGCTTTTCAAATGTGAAAGCATTAATTTCTCTCTAGAATTCATATTTTAACTTACGAGTTTGCATAATGCATTAGGGGACGCAGAGTGAATACTGATCACCTTCATTTTGATTATTTTCTATTTTATAATTAGAAAATAGCTTTCAGTTAGGAAAAAAAATTGCAACTTACTTCAGTGCTTTTGAAATTATCTTTTTAAGGCTCTATAGCCAGGAAGCATCTTAGATACTGTTTGAGGTAATGAACTAGCAGGTACATTGTTTTCTTCAAGGTTAAAATTCTCGCCCTGGCTTCTCAGTGCTGAAGGAGACAATTCAAAATCTGGCATTCTGACCTGTGTCCTAATGAGAAATAATAAATTTCTGAATTTTATTTTGTTTGGCAATAAAAGATCAGGCATATTTTATTGAAAACACTGCCTGGATGTTTCTAGCTCTGAATTCCTGCTTCCCTCTGCTTTTACTGTTCTTTTAGGTGATCTCTGCTGTGATTTGACTTCTCACCCACATCTTTTTCTTATATGGTGCTAATGAACAATGCTAAATGAACCTTTTGTTTATTGCTGCTTGCATACTTGTTGGTGAAATATTGTTCCTATAAGCAAGTGGCTCTTTGCCAGCATTGGATCATTGGCTGAGCTCTGGACTTTATGTCTGTGGCTGTGCTAAAGCCTAATTTTTAGACATTTGGGAATAAATAGTTATACAGAGTTTCACTTTTTACATGTCATTGAAACCATCTTTTTATCACCCTGCAATGAAATACTATTTTATTTGAACTTCAGCACTCATAATGTAACTGTTGTGCGCTTGAGCAAAAGAAGAGGAATTTATGGGGCGGGGGTGTGTTTGGGGGGGATTAATTTAATTATCTCTTTAGTGTGTATTGTTATAAAAAGATGCCTCACACAGGCACATACCTTGAAACTAAGCCTTGAATTTATACTGAAATCTGGTGAAGCAAAAGAAGTGGACAAGAATAAATTCTCTAAGTTTCTATATGCTCTTTGCTTTTCTCTTCTGCTTGGTCCTATATATAATATATAGCTATTATGTATTATATTGTACATATAATATGTACATATAATACGTACAATATAATATGTAGCTGATCAGCAGGATTTATAAAATTAAGGAGAAATACAGTTTAGTTTTTCTTGATGATGAACAGAAGTGGTTCGAATTCTGTTTGTAAGTAAAGCTGAAAGTAAAGTCTAGAAATATATGAGGCTGTTAATAATTATCTATGTCAGGGTTCTGTGGAAGGTAAAATTGAGAAAACCAGTATTCCTCTTTTCATTTTTAAAAATGAAATAAAACCACATCCTGTGTAGTATAATTGATAGGTGGTATAATGCAAATACAGCTTTTGAAGTCTCTCTTGCATGGCAAAAGGAGTCAGTTGCAATGGAAAAGCTGCATGTAACTTGGCATCATTGAATGAGGTGGGATCATTGCCTGCTCTGACTCTGTCATGCCTTTGCTTCTGAGTTATAGTTACTGAGCTGGTGATTGCTCTGCATTCAGTATCTGAGACATGAAACTGAAGAGTTCACTGCTAGGGCCATAATCTGACATTCTGCTCTCCACAGGCCCACGAGCGATCCGAGAGCTCCGAGGTTGCCTTCGTTACTCAACTTGTGAAGAAGCTGATGATTATCATTGCACGACCAGCTCGGCTGCTTGAGTGCCTGGTAAGTTTGCTCCTCAGGAAGAGTGCATTTATGACCTAAAGAGCGAGGTGTGTGTTTGAGCATACAAGAAACACAAAGCCTCAACAGAAAGCTTTAAACTCTCATCAAAACATTCATGAAAAATAAATCTGTATTATTTAAAAAAGGAGTACTAAGTGTCTTTTGCATTAATATAGAAGTGTCTTCCCAATGGACTGTCTGTTGCAACAGCCAGCTACACTATATTTTAGTATAAAATTTATAGCTAAGGGACCAGATGTAGCAACTGACATCATTTCATGCTACTTGCTGCCACCTGATTTTCCTCTGCTTAGTAGCTACAGCAAAGAGCCTGTAAATGTATAGTGTGCAGAAGGTGCCTAGAGAGCTATGCTAAGAAAGTACTATCACTAGGGAAGAAGTTCCTTTCCATGATATAAATGGTGTTTGAGTTCTTGGACTGAATCCCTTTGCTGTAGACCCAGCAATTTCAGAGAAACCTGGTGTCAGGTTTTCCAGCTGTGAGCACAGAGGGATAGGCCAGTGAATGATCCAAGCAGATTTGGAAGCCTGGGCTTGAAATCCTATGTGGTGCTCTTGGAATACATGGAAAAGGAACTCTCATTGCTTTTTTAACTTACTCTGGCTAATAAGCATGTATTTTGGTTTTTATTTAATTCTCAAAAATGGTGAAGTGTTTAGGCTATCTCAATGAAATAAGCCACTGTGTCCTGCCACTCAAAATATATGTTATAGGTACAGTGGAGAAGCAGCCTGAACATGCATTCTTACTGTGATGCCACAGCAAGAGAGTTACTATAAACCTTGAATATCATAGAATCATAGAATGGTTGGGGTTGGAAGGGACCTTTAAAGATCATCTAGTTCCAATACCCCTGCCATGGGCAGGGATTCCTTCCACTAGACCAGGTTGCTCAAGGTCCCTTTCAGCCTGGCCTTGAACAGTAGAAAGATGTGATTTGGCCTCTGGTGTACACAGTGTTGTGGTTATTACTTATTCTGTGACTGTATTGCAACAGGATGTTGAAAAACTTTGGTGAGAGCATAGGGGAGTGTCACAAAAAGTTGTTGGAGTGTGGGAGAAGGTGACTCAAACCTACAGTAAAACTTAGGAAATGACAGGATCAGATTCCCTGGTGTGTCAAAGCACACTATCTGATGGTTCTTTCTGGACAGAAGAATGGCAGGGAAGCCACATAGGTTTGAGACATCAGAGAAGTTGGCAAACTTATGAATCTGTAGCTTAATCTAGATGTATAGTTAACATCTGAGGCACGTTGAAGACAGTGTGTCCATGGACAGCCTTTAGCAGTTGAGTCACTAGAGGGTAAATGAGTTTTGCAGAGCTTTCTTAGACAAAGTAGACACAAGTGGTCCAATGTTTCTGATGATGATACCAACTTTTAAAAACTTCTCAGAAGTACTGAGAACCAGTAAACTTTGGAAGGGTTCTCTTGCATCAGATGGATGGCTCTGCTGTGAACCCTGTGGTGCAGGGAGGACCACTGTCAGTCATGAAGTACAACCAGAATATGACCATCTGTCTTGTACAGCCAGCAAGATAGATGCTTACCCTTACTTATTCAAGAAGTCTCTATTAGATTACATTAAAAATCCTGGGCAAACCTCCATTTAAACTGGGGATTCTTTGGCTTTCAAAACTATTTTTGTGATTTAGATGAGTTTAGCGACTCCAGTTATTTTCCAGTACTTCTTCAAAATCTTTTTTGGAAGTAAAAACAATGAAGAAATGAAATAAATTTAAGCTTATTGGGTTTGTATTTGCTGTGTTAATCATTGTCATTTATGCTTGTATACGCCCTATTAGTAACATGTCATCTGGGAAAACATAAAACTTACTGAAGTTTTACCAAGCAAGCCGTTCCAAACTCAAGCCAGCTTTTTGCTGGAGATCAATACATCTCCAAGTTCCTCCAGTATCTTCTGCACCTGATGTTCTGCAAAGTGAGTGGGAGCAGGTGGAAACAGGAAAGTCATTGATATTTGAGTAATGAACTCCAAAGCATGTAGTGACAACCCTGACAATGAAGTGGCTAGACTTCAAAGTATAAAAATAATATTTTGACCTCTATATTAGTGTTTCCTGGGTATTTTTTAACCTGCATTGCCTTCCTAGCATTCTTTTTTTCTCCAAAACATATATTGTATTCTGTTGATGTGAAGAATTAAATATTGATGTTCCTTTTATCATATAAAAGAACAAGAAATATAGTAGATGATAGTCAACCATTTAAATAGCTTGACGACTACATGTCATTTTGAGTGTTTCACATACTTCTTTTGCAGCTTAACCTTTAGTTTCAATTGTTTGTGAATTCCTAAACAGTTTTTCTAAGTATTTACTATTAAGGTTAATTTTACTAACACAGCTCATCCGTATTTCTTCCTTGCAAGTTAAGTAACTGATCACAGAGGCTGTGGTTGTAATGGTTGTGATTGTTGTAATAGGGATGAAGGCATTTAAATATTAAACATTAGTTATTTGGCTTCAGTCTTTTTATTACCTGTTGGGCTGCGAAATGTTCATTTATGGGCTGTGAACCTCTGGAGCTTCAAGAAAATAATAATGTTTTGTGTGTCACTGAAACCGTCTTTGGGAAAAAGTACGTCATTTATTCTTTTTTCCAGTTTATTTTTCCATAGTGCCTGCCTCCCTTTAGTGGCGTTCATTCCTCTCTATTCAAATGATTCAATAAATCTGCTAAAAAGAGGACAGAACTGGAATTTATTTAATTTCTTAATTTTTTTGTATGCTTGAATTTTTTGTCACCAGACTTTTTTTTTTTGCCCTTTACTCACCAATAAATGATCTCCAGTTCCATAGAAGACTATGCTTTCCCATTCACCTGTATCATATTATTTCCCTGTATCATATATATTATTATGTCATAATACATATATATATGTATGTATAAATACATATATATACATAATACATATATATGTGTATATATATGGTGACAGCATGTATACAGGCAGCATTGCTTAGAGCAGTCAAGATGTGTGTCTTTTCTCTGTTTCTCTAACCATTCAAATGTCTTTATATCATCACAATCTCTAATTTCTCTTTCTTGTTTAAAGGTCTGTGCTCTCTTTTCCCTTACGCTGCTGGCACACTCAGAGCAGTTCTTCCCTGATGCCCTCACAGCTGTATGCTCTAACTTCCCCTTTTGTCCTCCCATTTCACTAGAACATTTCTGAAGAGTCTTGACAAAGCTGCTCATTGCTGGTGAATGATGAGGTTCGTAGGGGAGAGTTAAAGTTGACTAGTGAATGTGCTTCTAAGCAGAGTGCTCCTGCTTCCAACAGCTTGTCTTCTATTTCCAAGTACATCTGTTAGTCTATTGAAGGAGATCACGCCTTCTTACAGCCTTGCCTTGCCTTTAGAGATCACCTACACCAAGACTGGGTTGATAACATGATCTTCTATTGAATAGTACAAGAAATACTGCTGCAGCATTTCTCTCATAGAAAGAGAATAGCAATTGCTATTTTATTAACCATTTTATTAGCAGTTGCTAAGTTTGGGACAGTTACAGGATTGGGTGGGTGTATGGTTTGATCAAAAGTGACGTTTGAAAACAGGAGAGGTTTATATTGGCTTAACTCACCTGTCAGATGGAGGTGGCAGAAGAAGGCACTCCAGTCCTCAATGTGTCAAAATCAGGAGGTGTGTCCATACCGATGCTTACGTTGTCATGACGTTATTTTCCAGTAGTCCATTATAGGTTCATGGAAAATCCCTACCGTCCTTTTCCTGTTTTGATTTGCAGATCTGAGCCAGTGAACATCCAGCAGGCTCTGAACGTCTGCCATTTTTGCAGAGCAGAGTGGAATGCACTGACTTCCTTGTTGTACCTGCAAATGTTTCATATCACTGCTGAGCCCAGAATTAACTTTGGATGTTTCCGAGGAATCTCCTATATGGGGGAAGAAACTTTTGTAATTGTAAAGCTGAGTCATTTACCTCTCTCTGTTTTTCTCACCACCTTCCTCTAGGAGTTTGATCCTGAAGAGTTCTACCATTTGTTAGAAGCTGCAGAAGGCCATGCCAAGGAAGGGCAAGGAATTAAATGTGACATTCCTCGTTACATTATCAGCCAGCTGGGACTCACCAGGGATCCCTTGGAGGGTGAGAACTCTTGGCTTGTACTCTCCAAACTGCTGAAGGGATAACCAGACATCCTGATCACTGCGTAGCTGAAGGAGGCTTTTGTTTTATTGGTTTAATTTCTAGGCCATTTTTCCTTATTTTCCTGTTTGCTGTCAAATTCTAGACTGTCCTTTCCAGCCCCATGTCTCAAAGGAATGTTGCTGGGCTAATGATCGCACATCAACAGTGACAATCCTTTACTTATGATGTTAATAATGTCTCCCTGTGTTATAGTATTATAGCTGAAACAGTGTTAGAAAATGGCTTTATGATTTGACTGTTTTCTCTGTGCTGTTGGGCAGTAAGTCTAGCCGTTACTCTAATGATCTGCCTTCCTGCTGGTGTCCTGGTTGGAAAGTATCCTATCGTCTCACTTTGTTGTCCTCTCTGGGAAAAGTGTGTTTGTTGTGATTTTCCAGAAGAAACCAGGACTAGTACCAATTTTTAGGTGGAGATAATGTTGTATTTTTACGTCTCCCATAGCAGTGAAACTAAAGAGAGTAATGCTTTAGAAGAGAGTAACAGCTTTTCTGCTGGGTGCCAGAATTCCATATGGTAAATTGAATACGCTGTAAGCGTACAGAGGCACAGAAGATCCTACCTTTGGAATTTGGAGTTGATGTTTCTGCCTGGCACTTTGCTAATCGTATGACAAGTTTTAGGAGCATGCATAGCTTGCTCAACAGCAATAGAAAGTGTGGCAGAAACTGGAGGTTACTGTGGAATATTTCAGTGATTGAACTGTACTTTTTATTCTCTCAGGAGAGCATAATTTTGGCATAAGTTAGTTGTCTGGATAGGACTAGTTTAACTTCTGTGGTGTTTACCAGAATGACAGTGACAGGTTGACTTCAAGTGAAGAGCTCTTCGGGAAAATTTCTACCAGAGATTGCTAAATGCAATTTAATAGCATTTGTTGAAATCTGACATTAAAGGGAAATTTCCTTTGATCCCTGTCATGGGAGAGAACCTTTCCATCATTAATTCCCCTTACTAAAGTCAAATTTTCTTTAGAGATGTGTGGAGATGTCAAGGTGCCTTATTTCCTTTCTGTAAGGAGGGCACCCAGAAATGTCAGTGGTGTCTGTTCAGAGACTAGTAGTTACCGTAGGATTTGGGTTTGCAAAGTTTAGAGCATCTCCTAAGACAGCTGAGTAGCCTAAACTGGCTTTCTCCCAGTTTGCTGCTGCTCAGCATTTTGCAGAATCAGACACATTTCATGCAGGGAGGTTGTTTGAAGTGTAATGCATTTTCTTTTGAGGACTATAGAGGTGCCACCAGGCTACATGCAGACATACATGCATGGAATAGCTTTTAATATTAACTAGACAGCAGTTTCCCCAAACATGCATTTATTGCTTTTACTTATTATAGAAACCATCTCGAATAAGTCAGGCTGAAATTAGAGCAATTAATTACATTCATCTTTATACAAAATACTGCCTGCAGCTTCTACGATGTTAAAGGTTATCACTGTATAATTGGGGTGACTTTTTACAGAGGGGAAAAATGTCCTTCATCATCTACAAGCACCTCTTAAAATCCTGTTTGTCTTGTATAAACAAAGAGAATAGTGTTTGATTGAGATCATTAGGAATAATCTTTCCTCCTTCTTTTCAGAAATGGCCCAGCTGAATAGCTATGACAGCCCAGACACTCCTGAGACAGATGATTCAGTCGAGGTAAAGCAGTAATACTCACTCTGTCTAGCACAGTTTTTTTTTATCTCTGGAAAGAAGTAGTCTGCAATAAAGAATTAATTATAATGCAGAGCAATTTTAATTAAAAAAAAAAAAACCAAGTGCTGACATTCAAAAGAACACATTAAAACACTTATGAAAAGGTGGAAATCTCTGTACTGTGGTGATGAAATGCTTAAAAGTTCCAAACAGGCATTATCATCAAGTTTTGGTGATGTCTTTTTGAGTTGCAAACAAAAAACATCTGGAGAAGTTCTTTGTAGCTGCATTTGTAAAATCTGATGGGTTTTGAAGGGAGATGACTTCAGTAACAGACGATTAGAAAAATTTAATTCTATAACCTCTAAGTTTCAAGGTTCTTTAGCTGTTTATTGTCTTTTAAAATGTAATGTTGAGGAAAGGCTTGAATCTTATAGTCCACTAACTTTTGGTGCTAATAATTTGTGAGATAATCCACAAGGGTACTAGAAATACAGACAGAGATACATCCTGATGTTTAGATATGTGTTCAGATTGGGTGAATGCTGCTTAAAAAAGAAAAGGACAAAAAGGTGTGTGTTACAATGAAGTAATTCCTGCTCCTGATTTCCGTTTTCTTCTTTCCCCAGAGCCGTGGGGCCTCTGTCCAGTCAAAGAAAACTCCATCTGAAGAAGAGTTTGAAACTATCAAACTGATCAGTAATGGTGCTTATGGGTAAGGCTTTGCTTCAGAAGAAAATATTGTCCTACCCAGCGAAGGGCAATAGCAATGTTTCACGAATGATTGATTTTTGTTGGGTCCAAAGCATAAATGAATTTTGCTTGGGTCTTAAACAGATCCCACACTTCTGATGTCTTCTGCATTCTTCTGGGAGGTACCCTGTCTTGTATGTTCTCAGGGTTTCTCAGACAATAGCCCCTGTACTGGACTTAGTTCCTGACTGTGGAGTCCTTATATTGCGTTGAACTGACACACAGCTTCCAGCTCAGGAACCTTTTGTAAAAATTAGTTGCCCTCCTTTAAAGATTTCAGAGTCTGGTATTCCTAATCCTTCTGTGGTGCAAATTTTCTGAAGCCCTTCCAGGCTGCGTCCTTAAGCCTGTTTTTCCAGGAACTATTTCTGCAATGTTTCTTTATGGTAGGTAGGTAAGATACAGACACTTCGGTGCCTTAGCTTGAGATGATGAAAACCTTTGCCCTAAACACTGTCTCTAGTAAGAATATTATCACTTAGATTATTGTGAGATCCTTGAGTAATAGTAAAAAAATGTAGTTCCATGGTCTGAGAACATTATTTTGTACCAATTTCCTTATTGCTTGTTAGGCCAGTCTGCATTTCCTTTGATGCTGTTTGGTTAAGTCCTGTGGTTTGTATTTGGTTAAAGGCTCAATGAGTGAGGGTAAAATTCTGTAGTTGCAAATATTATTGATGTTTCATTGATGATTCATTGAAACAGCAAGAATATTGAGAGAGAAATAGCTTGTGCTTTCCTGTTCTTCCATGTATTCAGATTTTATATGTAATGTGGCTGTTCTTAAGCACTTCAGATACTAAAATTACATTGGGGCAAGTCTGCTCTGAGAAATAATACAGTAAAAATGCCATTGGATTTTATTATCCATTGAAGAACCCAAAATGAGGTTGATTGGTTAAAATTTTAACTACTCATACAAACCTATCCAGAATTATAAAGATGGTTCTTTGACTCTCTCCAATTCATAAATCCTTACCAGGGAAATCACTAGGCTGTAACTGAAAGGTGGTGATATTCAGTAGGTCATAACAGCAAAACTTGAGCATGTGCTTGAGTGTTTTGTTGAAGTGGGTACTTAGTTAAAAGCAACTCTTTTTTTTTGAAGTTATATGTGAGAAAAGTGGAATGGTATTTTTTAGTCAGTGAAGACACAATGGAGCTTGTCGAAGAGCCATATTGTTGGACAGGAAGATTTTATATCTCTTTAGTCATATTTCTGCACAGACCCCATTAAATGTAACTTGGCTTAAAAGAGGGGAGAGAAGTGGTTGTTTTGCTGTTACTCGTGTCTGTCTTTATCCTGGGTGTATTTTATAGTCAGCTGCTGGTAGGACACAATATCATGTTAAATGTAGTATACTCTGGAGAAAAGGAAACAAGTACTGATTCAATAAGGCAGGCAAACTGGATGAAAATTTTATTTGCAAACTGTATTATTAAAGTGCAGGAATCTAATGATCTGCAAATGATGGAAATGTAACTGATACTTTACTGAAGGAAATCCCTGGTGACAGTGTTGAGTCAAATTAATTTTATGGAGCTGGGAAAGAAATCGTGCTGATTCCATACATTTTGGACCATTTTTTTAAGTGGAATGATGACTGTAGTGTTGAAAATTACATGCTTCTGCAATGCTGCTTAAGGAAGTTTGTGACATTTCTGTCTGAAATACCTCATTAGTCATATCAGCAAAAGTGCTGCTTAGTTCAAGAAGACAGAGTAGCTTCTGGAAGGAAGCATCACAGGGTTCCTTCTTTTCAGGGGGAGCTCAGCACTGACATGGAGTTGCAAATAAGTCTGTCAGGATCTATCCAAAGCAGTTACAATCACTGTTTAAAAAAAAAAAACAAAAAAAACCAACCAACCAATAAGCAAGCAAAAAAATAACCCAACTGCAAACACGTTTGAACTGAAAATGGAACTTTTCCTCTTGGTATGTGGTTTTCTAGGGCTGTGTATCTGGTGCGACACAAGACCACCCGTCAACGTTTTGCCATGAAGAAGATCAACAAACAGAACCTAATTTTGAGGAACCAGATCCAGCAGGCTTTTGTGGAGAGAGATATCTTGACTTTCGCTGAGAACCCCTTTGTGGTCAGCATGTTCTGCTCCTTTGAGACCAAGCGCCACCTGTGCATGGTTATGGAGTATGTAGAAGGTATGGTTGTCACTGTATGCACCTGCAAAGGGACCTTGGTCAGCCCTGCAGTTGCAGGGGAAGCTGTGATGCCCTTTCAGGCAGGAGTGTATAGATTGCTTCTAGAATGAAATGACTCATTCTACCACCAGTACAGTTTGGGATAAGGAGACACTCCATTTGTGAATCTCTGTGTCTGATACAACATGATTGCAGTGCAGCTGAGGAAACGTAAAGCTACAATGCTGGGGTCAGAAGTAAACATGGACTTTACAGTCCTCATTGGAGAGAAATCCTCTCTCTTTCCTGTGGGATGGCAGGGCTAGATCCATAGCATGTTTGCTTGGCATTGCAGTTAGAAAAAAGGCAGTTAAGAAACATCGCCAAGCAACATAGTCTTTATTCTTGAGCAGCCTTATTTAAATTACAGTGCTATTTCTGCTGGGGTTTTTTGCTTGTTTTGTTTATTCTTTACAATATTATCTGATTTTATTTTATCTCTGTATCTTGCTGTAAGCAATATATTTCCACTGGTGGATAGGATTAATTTCTTACGCCTGCCTTGCTTGGCTGAATGTTTATGAGAAATGAGCTTATAGTTATTGTATCAGTGCTCTTTCAGATAAATTAGTGGAATGAAAACAGATGTATTGGCATAAAAAATTTTAATATGGATTTCTATTTGTAAGTAGAGATGAAGGTCAAATGAAATGTGTGGGCAGTGTTCCTTAAAAAGCTTGAATCAGGCACCCACAGACTTATTTTCATGACTCTCACTGTGTTCAAAGGCAAGGCTGCCTCCCCATGCGTAGGGAGAGCCAATTAGTAGTTGTAGAGGTGTTTACTTACTATTTGAAGAAGGTTGTATATCAGAAGTAGTATGTGTCTCAGTGGTGGGGAGCAAAGAAATTTATAGAGGCCAGACAGTCATGAACTGCCCGTTCTTCAAGGCTTGCTTAACGGTTTGGAAATGGCATCTGCACAGTTCTTGAGCAAGCATGCCCAACATACATGGATCTAGATTTTCCTAAGATTTTAACATTTATATGAAGCTCAAGACAGAATGTACAGAGAGCTTTAGAATTCAGGCTGAGAGAGTTGAGATTGAGCCTCATGACTGTTCTTTCACTGTGCCATATTTTCAACTTCTTTCTTAGGAGGTGATTGTGCCACACTTCTCAAGAACATTGGTGCACTACCTGTTGATATGGCAAGGATGTATTTTGCTGAGACTGTTCTGGCACTGGAGTACCTACACAATTATGGGATTGTTCACCGTGACCTGAAACCTGATAAGTAAGTCTTTAGCTTTTCAGAATCATAGAACCATAGAATAGTTAGGGTTGGAAAGGACCTTAAGATCATACAGTTCCAACCCCCCTGCCATGGGCAGGGACACCTCACACTAAACCAGTGTTAGCCAAGGCTCTGTCCAACCTGGCCGTGAACACTGCCAGGGATGGAGCATTCACAACTTCCTTGAGCAACCCATTCCAGTGCCTCACCACCTTCACAGTAAAAAACTTCTTCCTTAGAGCTAACCTAAATCTCCCCTGTTTAGGTTTGAACCCATTCCCCTTTGTCTTATCATTATAATTCCTGATGAAGAGTCTCTCTTCAGCATCCTTATAGGCCCCTTTCAGACACTGGAAGGCTGCTATGAGGTCTCCATGCAGCCTTCTCTTCTCCAGGCTGAACAGCCCCAACTTCCTCAGCCTGTCTTCATACAGGAGGTGCTCCAGTCCCTGATCATCCTCGTGGCCCTCCTCTGGAGAGAAATGGTTCTTTAGGGTCTTTCTCCATAGGCAAGAGGACATGGGAGCTAGAGACAACAGATCTTCAGTGGCATCTGACATGTAGGAGATTTTATGGAGTCTCTCGTTACTGATGTAGAACCGGATAGACGCTGAGAAAGGGTGGGAAGAATGACTTCAGATACTATTTCAAAGCTGTTACTACACTGATGAAATTATGGCAGAAGATGTAGTGTGATTTCTAGTTGCCTTGGCTGCCCTATAGTTAATAGGAGGTTCCTTCCAGGTGTTTGATGGGGATGTAACGCCTAGAACTTGCTTAGCATTATCCTATGTTCTTTTTTTTAAATTGCTTTTGGGCAACAGTTAATTGAATGTTGGATTATTTTGCTGCTTCTCTTTCTTCTAGTCTTCTGATAACTTCCATGGGTCACATTAAACTAACAGATTTTGGACTGTCTAAAATTGGGTTAATGAGCCTTACAACTAATCTTTACGAGGGACACATTGAGAAGGATACCAGGGAATTCCTGGACAAGCAGGTAAGCTGAAAAATTTTGTCTATTGTTGTGGGATCAGATGCAAGATTCTCTTGGGTTAGAATGGGATTTTATAGCACTCCCTCTGCCTTGATGCTGTGCTCTGTGTTGTGGAGTAGGAGGAGAAGACACAAGTCTGTTCTCATGTTTGTGCATAAATTGGCATCTTCTGGTATTTCAGCTTCACGTTTTGGAGTGATGCACTTCAGCTCCTAGTTTAGGATATTGAAAATGTGGCCCAGGCAGCAGTGCAGGTGTGAACAGACGTTGGTTTAGAGGCATAACACAGATTTTGCTGGAAGGTTGTTCCACGGTCTCCCCCTTCTGGTGCTTAGAGAGTTCATGGCAAGTTCCTGTATGTTTCTTGTGATTTTGTCTCATGGCTTTTATCCCCATGGGTTTTATCCCCATGATATTTACTGAGGGTCATTTTTCTCCTTAGTCTCCATTTTGCTGGGCTTAACCAGCAAAATTCTTCTTGGTAACAAGACAGATTTTTCTTTGATGAATGAACAGCACTTCTGTGCACCTTCTTCAGCTTAAGTTGCTATTTTCTGGCCATAGTTGGCAGGAACTATACTCTTCTGGATGTAGGCTCACCATGCCTTGTATAACGGTATTAAAAAATACTTCCATCTTCTGAGAATACCTCAGATCACAGCTGAATTTTCTTTCTCAGCTGTGCCAAGTATTAATTCCTAATCACTCTGTGGCATTTTTGCCTTTGCTTCTGAGTAATTATGTTTTTTTCTAGCAGAACTTCTTTGGTCACAAGATCATGGCCTTGCACTTTGCAGTGTTACAGCTATATTGTTGCTGCTTCTCAGACTCAGGCAACTTAGACCTTCCCATATGATTTCCTTAGCCTTTGTCTCTGCCAAAGGTACCTCCCAGGTTTAAATGCTGGAGTGCGTAATCATGCTGTGCTGCTAATCCTGCATCTGTGAAACTAGGTTCTGCTAGCACAGAGATGCAAGAGGTTTGTCAAAACTGAGTTCCTTATAGCTGTAGCTCTGCCAGTAGACATCCATCAAGCAGACAGACCTGTACACACAGAATGTGCATTTTTCCCATATGCTTTACTGTATGTGCACCAAAAAACTCCTTAGCTGTCATATCCACACGAGGAACATTTCATATTATGTGATATCTTTTATGTGTAGGTAATGTGTTCCTCAAATACAGACTCTTGCTCCATGGAAGGTAGTTCGCAGCATAAAGTGGTTAGTGGCAGAACATTAATAACTTCCTTGTAGTGCTCTGGGGAGGGGGGGAAATAAAAAAGACAAGAATAAACCTTGATGTGAATCTGGCAGTTTTTAAGTTAATTGCTTTCTTGTGTTTCTCTTGAGGTCTGTGGTACTCCAGAATACATTGCACCAGAAGTGATCCTGCGCCAGGGCTATGGGAAGCCTGTGGACTGGTGGGCCATGGGAGTTATCCTGTATGAGTTTCTAGTTGGCTGTGTTCCTTTCTTTGGGGACACACCTGAAGAGCTGTTTGGACAAGTGATTAGTGGTATGTTTCTGTTCTGTCTCTGATGGGGTTTCAGAATGTACTGTGAAAATACCGAGGATCCACAGTTTAGACAGAAAGGACTAGGTGTAAAATAATGGCTTTTAATTTTGAAACATTTATCTATGTCAAAGTAGCATCTGTCTGATTTCAGCTATCAAGAGTTGTTGAGTTGCTTCATGTCTTGCTAGATAGCTCTTTCATTGTGCATGGTGTGGGAGTCATGCAGATGCTTGTGGGATTGGGGAAAAGTGTTTGAGGATGTTTTCCATCCCGTCTTTTAACTTAAATGATGGAGAATATGAAAGGAGCAGCCGCCAACTGGTGTAATTCAGCCTGATTTTGGTTATTTCTTCTCTAGATGCAAATGTCAGTCAATTAGTAGTTGTATAGACGAAATAAAAAGGAAGGTCTAAGCAAAACACATTGAAGCTGTTGTACTAAGCACCTTCACATCTTGTGGCTTTTTAAACCTATCTCCTGCTTGGAGTTGGACAAATGATTGCTTTGTGTTCTCTCAGTGAATACGCCAGTGAAAACATTTCCTATTGGGAATACTTTCTGAAACAGTAAATTTTTAACACACTTGGCAAATGTCCTTTATAAAAAAGCAAATTTCAGCAAAGAGCTAAATATGATGCGTGGAATTGTTACCTGCGAATTGTTCTCTCTGTTCCAAGTATAACAGGCTTGGAATGTGCAGGCACAGGATACAGCCACAGTATTGTCAGTGTCTTTGTTTATGGATCGTCATGGAAGTCCCATTTCATACTTTATTAATAGAGTTCTTACTGCTTCTTTTCTCCACTAGCACTGCTTTGATTGACAGCAGCTTTAGCTGACGCTGAATTTTATGCATTTTGGAAAATGTCAATGCTTGAATTATATTAAGTATGCAAGCTGCTGAATTCAGGGTATTTGTGATGCTGGGGCAGTACTTGAACACTGCATTTTAAGGTATAGGCTCATGAATGGTTATTCAAATCAGTCATGAAGCTGGTAGAAAATGTCAAGTCTCTTTTTGTCTCCAGATGAAATTGCCTGGCCAGAAGGTGATGATGCACTGCCACCAGATGCTCAGGACCTCATTTCTAAGCTGCTTCGCCAAAATCCTTTGGAAAGAATGGGAACAGGTAGGAACCTTGTGCATGGGAAAGTATTACCCAGAAGGAGGAAAAGAATCTACCTTGCCAGTGATGCATACCCACCCATGCTGAAAAATGCTCATCTAGAACTGGGAAACCGTTTGTACTGGGCTCAGTGAGTCTTGTGTGATGAAGCTCTGAGAATTAGTGTAGACAGATATTACTGTCTTGTTTGGCAAAAAAGAAAGGGGCACCTTCAGCTTGGCGATATAACTGCTCAATTTTGTGCTGTTCTGTTAAAGGCTTGAGGGTGGTTGTCTCCATTTGAACAGTGTATAATCAGATCTCTTTGAAGTTCTTTTTGACTAGGGGCTTAATCCCCTACATGGATGTTAATTCCTGGGTGTAATGAAATAAACGAAAACTTTCTCATTCCTAGAGGCTTGTACTGTGGAATTCTCCAAACATACAAAAAATCTGATAATGTCTTTGGCGAAGTCAGATGTGCACATCAATCTTTCTGTATGTTAATGTCAGGTTTGTAGTTTTACAGGCTAACATTTCTCATTTGCTGGTAGTGAGTTACCAAAAATAATCTGTAGCTACACTCTTGTTTTAAAACAATTTGTGCAATTCTGTGGCTTCACAGCACAGGTTGGCTGTTCTGTTGATTATTTTAATTTGATTTAATTTTAGATTTTCAATTGGAAACTACACTTTAAGGATAAAATAAAAACTCGGATGTATCGCAGTTCCAAAAGGCACGTGTATTCAGCAACTTAACACATGTGCACAAAAGGGTGCTGAATAGATCATGAATGAATAATGATATCAGATGGTTTTCACATGTTCTTCTTTACTTCAAATCCATGTACTTGAAAGATGTTGCTGTCATGGAAAAGATGTAGAGTTTCTTGTCTTATGAAATGAGTTGATGGACTGATTTTTTGATTCCTTACACACCTGTAATGCTGAGACTGCTGTTCTGCTTGGCGTCTTGTAGTGCCACTGGCACTCAGCAAACCTTTTATCTCTTTTCCTCTGCTATATTCTTTTTTAAGAAAGACAGTAGCATCTTTTATGAATATTAATTTCATTTGGAAAAAAAAAAAGCATACGCTGGTAGACAGATAAGCCCCAGTTTTCCCTTCTGGGTACCCAGGCTTCTGAGCTTAATATCAAAAGATACTAATTCAGGAAGATAGGTGAGCCCCTGCCTTGTTTTAAGCACATGAATGAGTTTATTCATGACAGTGGAGCCACTCATGCTAAGTGCTTTCTGAGTCTGCTCTTTATTCAGCTATGAACAAGGTGGTATTTAGAGCTTGGAAATTTTAAATTAAGATGTTAATTAGTTCTTAATCTTGCACTTGCGTGGAATGTAATAGCAGATGCTGTTTTCCAGCCAGTTTACTCATGTATTGCCATCAAACAAGAGGAGGAGGTGGGAAGGAGGAAATCTTGTTCAGATTTTATCCTGTATCACCACTTTGGTAAAAGGATAAGTCGTTACTCAAAATTCTTGGAAAATGGACTCCAGGTACTTAATTGTACTCGGGCACATTCTTTTAGGCTCTTGATATTTTTAGGGTTTATTTTTTCACATTATGCAAATGCTGAAAGAAATACTCTGCAATGAAAGATGCTTTATTTCAGGTAGTGCCTTTGAAGTGAAACAGCATCGGTTCTTTAAAGATTTGGACTGGAATGGATTACTTCGACAGAAAGCTGAATTCATCCCACAGTTGGAATCTGAGGATGACACGAGCTATTTTGACAGTAAGGCTAAAGAGTCAGCCTAAATGGCATCCTGGGTTTTGCACATATTTCATTTTTTAAATTATTAGAGATAAGTCATTGGTAGAAATGGAATGAAACACTTGATGGAAGTTGCTTTTGTAGGTTTCTGCTCAATGCCAGGTAAGGTTTCTTTGAAAGCAAATGAATTTTAAATGAAAAAGTGCTGCTGCTGAAGTCAGTTGACTTTTCACTGGTGCCTGTGGTCCTGCCAGCCATGGCCCTGCAGTGAGAGGTACTGCAGTTGCTATGCTGGGTTTCTTACAATACTTCCAAAGCATTTGGTAAATGCAGCTTTCTTGAGCTTTTGAGCACTATTATCTATCCCTAGTGGCTGTTTTCAGCCAATATTTCTTTAAACAAAACAAACAGGCCCTAACCCTTACAGAGAAGTATGTAGGGAAAATTCTTATTTGAAGTAATTTCAATTATTTTCACTGCAAGTGTATCACCTTATTTTAGTGTTACTGACTCTAATGAGATATGAAGTGAAGTGTCTGTCTGGTGTGTATGAATGTCTGGGAACTGCCGTGGTATCCATGCTATGTAGGATTCCTGGTATTTCCAGATAAGGACCAGACAGTCAGTGCTCTTGGGAGAGGAGGGAGGAGGGAGTGTCATGTGAGGGATGGAGAAGTCTCTGTGCCCAGAGCCTCTGTTCCCCAGCTTTCCTCGTTTGGCTTTGGGAGCTGAGCAGGTGGACAGGGCTTGGGCTTGTCACTGGTCAAGACAAGGGTCTCTCCCCAACTCCAGCTGCAGCACAGGATGATACTAGGCTATTTAAGTTCCCTGAGCTATGGAAACTTCTGCCTTCAGTGGAATCTCTTCCATCCTTCTAGGCCCATGGGACTGGCTTAACTCCATGTGGAGCGCATCTGTGTTTCTGTGCTCCTGTGCTCCTGTGCTGTGCTCAGGGAGAGAGGGAGAAAGCAGCCTGCCTCCAAGCCCTCTGCTGCCACACTGCAGGAGCAATGATCCTGTTTAGATAGTGCTCTTCCAGTTGGGGAATACGTTTTTAGGTTATGGGTAGGATGGAGAGAAAGATAATTTGATAAGTCTCTGTGTACTTGCTGCAGAGAGCAATTTGAGTCAAGCTGTGCAGAGGGGCTGAGGTGTGATTTGCATAGATTGAGGTTGTATTGATACCACATACATGTAGGAGCCAAGGTGGTGGTGTGTTCCTACCACTAACTGGACTTACTGGACACTGAAACTTGAGCTCTGGTCACTGTGTTGGGTCAGTCATTGGGAGAAGCACAATGCAGCAGCTGTGAGTGGATCCTGCTGGGTAAAAGCACCACGTAATGTTCAGGGGTGCAAATCACTGGGTCTGTCAAGTAGGAATGATGGCAAACTCCCCAAGTACCCAGGCATGCTCAGCAGGTTATCAGGGTGCCGTTGATGTGAGTCCTTTATGAAGGCTGGAATTCTGACATGAGGGAATATCTCACACAGACACTGATAAGAGTTGGTGTTGCTGTTATAAACCCTAATGCAGGAAAATTTAGAATTTATAGAAGTAGCTTTCTGGCTGATACAGTGCAGCAAATTTGGCTCAGTATAGCTATCAGCCTTCTGTAGCCAAACTTATTAACACCCACCCCTCAAAATCCGATGTGGCTGGCTTAGAAATCCAGTGCTGCAAATCTCAGCACCTCTTTTAGGAGGCAGTTGAGATTTTTGCAGTAAAAAATAGCTTTGCATCTTGGCTGCTTGCCTGTTTTCTTTAAGAAAACCTTATCCTTTTGCTAGTTGTAGGAGAGAGAAGAGGAAATATTTTAGGGGGTAAATATTTTTATTTTGTTCAAGAAAGCTTGGTTGCAGGATAGACTTTGTGCAGTCAAAAAGCTGTCTATTGGAAACTGGAATAGTGAATTGTTTCAGTGTTTCCTCCCTTGTGATTGTTTGCTGTTGAGAAGAAATATCCCTACCACAAAGGGTCTGCAGGATTAGACACCTGCTGAGTACCAGCTGCTTTTAGAATCTGATACAGCTGAAGATGTAAGATAAATTCAGTAGGAAGGAGGTATTCTGCACTGCTAACTACAATATGAGCAAAATTAGCTGGGTATGTTTCGTTATTAAGAAAAATACCCTGCATGGTATATGAGCGCTCCAAGTTCTTGGTAAACAGACAAGTAGGAATGCTTGATGTGTGAGAGTCACCTCTAGTCCTTGCACTGATGGCACATGCCATGCCTTGTTCACAGCCCGTTCAGAACGGTACCAACACCTGGATTCAGAAGAAGAGGAGGACACTAATGATGATGATCATGTGGAAATTCGGCAGTTTTCCTCATGCTCGCCGAGGTTCAGCAAGGTAGGAGCATGCTGACTTGTTGAAAGACAGGAACACAGCTTCATTGCTTCATATGAGGTAGATTTTAGTCATACGGTTCATATGTTTGGGGATTGCACGGTGTTTTAGTATAAACTGAGGAAAGAAAAACTGTATATGTTGTTTATTCTGTGATAATCTGTGGCCTATTAGAAGGTGAGTACCAGAATAATTGGAGAATAAGGTTTTGTATTTCTTCATGTTTCGCTAATATGCAGACGTCTCTTCTATCTCTGATAGTTTGGTGTTTTTCCTGATGACTTGGATGCTGGCTTAGGTAGTATCCAAAGCTTATTTTCTTTGAACAGTGTCATTCTGAAAGGGTCTTCCAGTAGGTAACAGGATGAAAATTGATTCTGGCATTTTGGAATAAGGGTCTAAAATCCAAGAGATCCCACGTAGTAAGAGCACAGGTGAAGCTTGCACCTCTGCTGTTGTTTATTGTCTCAAATACAGCCTGAGGAACAAAAGGTGAAGTGATAGTTTGAAAGAGAAGGATCTGGGCATATAGTGTATCATGAGTTAGATGTGCCAACTTATTGAAGCAAAAAGGCAGTTGCCATAGTGGGAGATCATGAATATTTTCTGCAAAGGAAATGAAGAAATCCTTTCCATCTGCTTAGTGCTAGGAGGGCCACATCTGGGGTACTCTGTCCTGTTCTGGGCAATGTTCTTGAAAATAAACAGGGACCAGTAAAAGAGAGTCCAGAGGAAAGCAACAAGAATGATCCAAGATCTACAAAACATAAAACCTAATGTGTTTCTAAATGCATAACTGCTAGAATGAAAGTACAGTGGTCTTCCTCTTCTACACAGACCTGATATGAAATGATGGGCACAAAGGGTGTATACGATAGACTGTAAGAAGTAATTTCCAATGTGGAACAATAACTAAGCCCTGATGTGGGTTGCCTGGCGAATTTGGAGCATTTCCATCTCTGTCAGCTTTTCAGAACAGGTTAGAGAAATATCTGTCAGGTGTTAGAGGAGACATGGCTCTGCTTTGAGGTGAGGAAATGGTCAGGAAGCCCTGAGGAGGTCCCCTCTAGCCATGCTTTCTGGATTCAGGTCTGTGCGGGTGGTTCAGGTCTCATTCAGGTGGTTGGAAATAAAAAGCTGGAATTCTGGACACTTCAGAGTAGTACAACTCCACTGTTAGAGTGGATAAAATAAAGTATGTTTGCGGCGGGGCAGAAGGGAGAAGGAACGCTGTTTTGGCGTCAGGTCACTATGAATTGTCTTTTCCTCTTCTTAATGAGACGGGAGTAGGAATTGTACTTAAGACCTCTGACATATTTCAGGTTGTCATGACAGTTCCTCCAGATTTCCACCACTGAACTCAGATTTTGAAGCATCAGTTTGTCCTTCTTTGTCCTCAGCTGGGCTACAGTGGTTTAAGTAACAGTTACCATTAAGTTTATGGAGTTGCTCCTGATTTGCATCACCAAAAGTACGTTCAAAATTGGACCTGAGGATTAGTTGGGGTTTTGAAAAAGTTGTAGTGCGTACATAAGGGTTTCTTTTTTCCTGCCTTTTCTCACCATGAGTATTATTCATCTGCTAGACTGAAGCTTTTCTTTAGGGTTCAGTGTTTTTGCCACAAAGAGAAAAAGTTCACTTTTAATGAATTTATTCTAAGACCTGGGAAATTATACAGCATTTGTAATGTGGGAGGCATAAAAGGTTCATTGTATTTTGAAGTTCTTGTCTGACAATTCAGCCATATGATTTATTAATAGTTATCTTGTTGATGCTCTGAATTTTTAATAACATTATTTTCATTAATCTCTTCTTATGTAAATTAGGTCCACAGTCAAGTGTAGTTTTAAAAGGATAGATTTTTTTGCTTAATCATTTAATTATTTAAAGACGGCTGTAAAACCAAGAAAGGCACTTTCATTAAGCTGTCAGCATTATAGTAGATTCCTTGAGGAGGACAGGACTTTTTTGTTCTGAAATAAGCTTGGGGCAATGCTGGTAGACTGATGATAATGAAATGGGGTCATGAGCATGATGCCTATCACCGAATTGGATTTGTATAGTGAGATTTCAAGATCCAGATGCCAGCCTTCAAGACTTGTGGAGCCTACTTTAGCAATATCTCCTCTTGAGTTTGAGAATGGTTAAAAACTAAAATCAAGTAGTTTCGAAAAGTCTTAGGATTTCTGTGGTGTGCTGGGCTGTTTTCAGGGGAGAGGTGTTGGATGCTGTTGTAGAAAGGCATGTTCAGTGTTTCCGAAGTTTGCCTTTTTCCTTTCCTCCTTGGCACACTTTGAGTATGTCACATCTGCACTGTGTTATTTAGTTAAAGAACATTGCCAAGTTCATGCCCTTGGGGAATATCTTCCATTTTGAGAAGAGATTATGCCCCTTCATCAGAAAAGGCCACGTAGGTTTGTTTTCTCTGTATAGAAGGATCTTTTGCTGTGTGCAGGTGTACAGCAGCATGGAACGTCTTTCCATCCATGAAGAGAGGAAGACTCCACCACCAACTAAACGGAGTCTGAGTGAAGAAAAAGATGACAGACTGGACAGCCTTGGTAGCTTGAAGAGCCGAGACCGCAGCTGGGTGATTGGGTCCCCTGAAATGTAAGTTCTGTAGAACCAAGCCTTCTGGTTTCTCATAGCGTCTGACCTGCGCCAAAACTTTCTCTGACCAGTGTTAGGTCAGGGATGCTTCATATGATGTATTTCCACAGATGAAGCCTGGAATAAATAGCTGAAAATCATGGAATGGTTTGGGTTGAAAAAGGCTTCTAAAAATCATCTAGTCCAACCCGTCTGCTGTGGGCAGGGTCACCTTCCACTAGACCAGGTTGCTCAAAGCCTCACACAACCTGGCCTTGAATGTTTCCAGGGATGTGGCATATCTCTGGGCAACCTGTGCAAGTGTTTCACTATCCTTGTCATAAAATCAATGCATAGAAGTGATATGGTCCTTAAATGTATCTTGATAAGTATTAACATCTCCTAAGTTTATGCCAAGTACTTTGAATGAATGTAAAGGAATTATAACCTTAAGTAAGGCTTTAGTCTGTGGAATGACTAGTTACATCAGAAATGTCCCAACAGCAGTTGTTTCTTAAACATCAGTGAATCCACAGTGTGGTGTGGCCGGACTTTTACCATTTGTCACAAATGAGAGAAAATATTAGCAAAGTCCAAAGTTTCTAAAGCTCAGAATATCCAAAAGCCTCTTGTCTTCTAATAACAAATGTCAGTAAAATATATTAATACCCAGATTTTGGATATCCACCATGTTTCTAGCATTCCTGAAATAATTGTCAACCTTTCCTTAAAAAATGGTTGTGTCACATTTTGTGTAACTCCTGATTGGCATTACAAGTTTAAATAAAAGGAAAACAAAAAAAAAGAAGAAAGTTATAGATTACACTCTTAGCTCACGTGCATCTTGCATCAGGCCTTCTTGGCTTCAGATTCACAGCAACTTTGAGAGAAAAAGCCATCTAGTTCCCAAAAGAACATGGATGATGATTTGCATTTTGTAATTGTGGCTTTTATAATCTTCAATATCATCTTCATTGAAGTGTACTCTTCTTTGGTATTATTCCTTCCTCTCTTAGAAGCTTAACAATGGAATATACTGGAAATCTAAACTCAGATGGTGCCCCAAGTCTGTGCTATTTTAGGTCCTAATGATGTAGCTCAGTCTCCTAACTTCACCCTAAACTGGCTCCAACTTTGTGAGTTGGGTCTGTGTGCTATTCTCACTCTTTATAGTTCATTATCCTCCTAACTTGACTGAGGGGCTCGGTCTTGGTTTTTCCCTTAGATTGCGTAAGCGCTTGTCTATGTCTGAATCCTCACACACGGAGAGCGACTCCAGCCCACCCCTGACCGTCCGCCGGCGCTGCTCGGGGCTTCTTGATATGCCCCGCTTTGCCATCTCCACTGAGGACGAGGGAACTGTTCTCAAAAGACCACAGTCTGAGGGGATGCTCTTACCCACCGTGCAGTCACGGGAAGGGCTGCCAGTGCCCATTCCAGAGCAGCCTGTGGAGCAGGAGCTGCAGCTGGAAGGTGATGCTGGACCTACCACCCCCTCCACAGCTGTCAGCAGTGCCTCAACGTTGACAGGTATGTGTTTGGTGTGATGGTGTCGTGGTCCCCAAGAAAGCCCTCTTAGCTTTCAGACATTAACTGTAAAACTGTGGATCTGGATGGTAGATGATGTAAATGTCTCTTGCAAAGTGGTTACTTTAGTATAGTTTTGTGGATGTGCTTGACTTTGAAATAGCATCAGTGGTTTAATCTCTTCAAAATTACAGCTTATATTTCAGTCCTGGCACTTCAAATTATTAAGGTCTTCTCATGCTTGAGACCCATATGATCTATGCCTCCTTACAACCACTGTGTGCCTGCCTAAGGCAGCATCATTTTAAGCATTCATCAGAGCAGATCACTGCTGAGTTGGAGCTGGAGAATATGGGTATCAGACACATTAACAGATCCCTGTTTCGTATGGTTTTATCTATCAAAAACTTTTGGAGTAGAGACTTGAAGTTTGCTGGGGTGTGAGGTTTGTGACAGGGACATGCTACTTGCTGTCTCAGCCAGATATCCCAAAATTGAGTCAAGCTGCAGGCTTAAAAAAGTGCATCCTAAGTTTAGTAGAGTGAGTCTTAGAAGCCAGGTTTTGACTTCTTAGAAGCTTTGACTGTCCTGGGGCCAATCTCCAGCACTTGGCTGAGCTGGACCTTCCCTGCAATGGTGCCCTGGGCTGCTGCAGTGCTTGGCTGGGCTCTGGATGCTGAGTGTCCCCAGCTCCTGACCATTTCAGGGCACCAGGAAGGCAAAGGACAAAGGTGCCTGTTTCTGAGAACAGAGGAACAGCTGGGAACTGGTGGGAAGCAGTAAGGGTGAAAAAAAGAAAAGCCAGTTTGGACCAATGGAAGAGATTGAAGAATTTGAATAGAAGGTTGGCAGGTTGGTTTACAGCCCGGAAAGCCAGCTGTATCCTGGCTGCATCAAAAGGATCATGACCAGCAGGTCAAAGGAGGTGATCCTGCCCCTCTGCTCTGCTCTCGTGAGATCCTACCTGGAGTATTGTGTGCAGTTCTGGTGTCCTCAACATAAAAAGGACATGGAACTGTTGGAACAAGTACAGAGGAGGCCATGAGGATGATCAGGGACTGGAGCACCTCCTGTATGAAGATAGGCTGAGAAAGTTGGGGCTGTTCAGCCTGGAGAAGAGAAGGCTGTGTGGAGACCTCATAGCAGCCTTCCAGTATCTGAAAGGGGCCTGTAAGGATGCTGGAGAGAGACTCTTCATCAGGAATTATAGTGATAGGACAAAGGGGAATGGGTTCAAACCTAAACAGGGGAGATTTAGGTTAGCTCTAAGGAAGAAGTTTTTTACTGTGAAGGTGGTGAGGCACTGGAATGGGTTGCCCAAGGAGGTTGTGAATGCTCCATCCCTGACAGTGTTCAAGGCCAGGTTGGACAGAGCCTTGGGTGACATGGCCTAGTGTGAGGTGTCCCTGCCCATGGGAGGGGATTGGAACTGGATGATCTTAAGGAACTTTCCAGTCCAAACCATTCTATGATTCTGTGATTGTATTTGAGAAGGAAGGCATATTTAGGGGAAGAACTAGATAGTAGTGTTAAAGAACAAGGATTAGCTGCGTTAAGAAAATAAAAACAAGTTGGTGGATGAACCTGCGAACAAGCAGGCAAAGCAATTGTGGATGCATTGAGGATGGAAAGGAGACGAAATGAGTACTGGGCAAGGAGTCAGAATGACAGCAAGACTGGACATGGACAAAGTGAAGGGCACTGGGCAGATGTGATGGTGAATTGATAGCAGAAGGTGGAAATGCGTTAGAGGAAATTCACCTCCATACTAAAGCCAAAGAACCCCACATCTCATTATTCCTCTTCTGCAATCCAGTCTGTGAAATTCCTTCAGAATTGTCCCATTTTCCACTTTGGCTCATCCTTCCAGAACAGGCCCAGTGCTTCCATCATGTACTCCATTAACCCGTGAGAGGAGGTATAGGAATGAAGGAAGTAAGGTACCACATACTTGGATGACATAGGTGTCATAGGGGAACCTTAGTTTGTCCATTTCATACTAAAAGAACCAGAAACACGCTACTAAAAATTGTGAGAACACCTTAATTACAAATACAAGTATCTACAAGTTGAAATAGGCAAAACACAAAGCTTCCCTGGGCAGCTGCTCACCTGAGCCTAATGCATTAGAGCAGTCTTTAATCTGGGATTCAGGGATACCATTGCTTCAGTGTCCCCAGTCTGCACAGTTAAGTCAGAGGCAGGGAACTGCAAGAAAGGATTTTATTCCTGTCACTGTCTTGAAGTGCTCTGCTAATGTTTATCACAGCCTTTTCACACGCAGCCTCCAATTCGGGTGTCTTCATTGTCTGGGAGCCTAATTTGAAGCTCTGTGGCTGTTAAATGTGAACACGCATCTCGTACTGAGGTCTGTGGGAATGGTGCTTTGAATTTTTATTTCCGTGGTACTTCCTGCTTGACTTAGTATGCAGAGCAGTGGTGCCCACTTAAATAACGATGATCAATGTTTTGTTCTGTCCTCATTGCTCAAAATGTGGCCCTAAGGCTTTATTTATTGCACGCTGCTTAAAATTTGCTTTTGAAGACAGAATGATTAATTTCCCTTGTGGACTTGCTGTGATGCTCATCACTTTCATTTCTAAGCACCTTGTAAATTCTAATTAATGTATTTTCACAGAGCCCCTTGAAGGCATCAGATGGGGAACTGAGGCACTGAGCTCGAGTACAGCACCCTCAGCCCTCAGCATTGTTACATGCCCAGTCTGATTTTCAAGCTTATTTTGCATTTTATACATAATTATAGCAGGTTAAGTAATTTAAGACTAAATTGCAGTGGTGCACAGAAGGGGACAAATTAAGGTTGTCTTTGCCATCCACATTTTTACTTTCCCTGATTTTAGTACTTTCACATTCTCTTAAAATGGATTTTTTATGTGCAGCTCCAGTAGAACCTGGCTCTTCTACTACAGGCAGTTTTAACTTAAAGATTGACAGTTCTTGCTGGTTGTAAAACTGGAGCACTTCCCATAAAGCTGTTTTCATCTGTGAACAATCCCATTGAAATGACTTGCCTGCAGAACTGCACCGCAGTTTTAGGATTCATGTAACTGCTACTCAGCAACGTGATTTCATTAGCGAGCTTTTCCAACAGAACAGAAGCTGCTAATTTTCTGTATTCAGAATAAGACCATTTCTGTAAATAAAAATTCAAGCCCTGGGGTTTCTTCTTAGGAAAATTTACTCTTGGACTTCATGTAAACATGACTTTGATTTAATGTATTTTGCCTGTAGGGGAATAGACTGTTAGGAATTCCCTGTGGTTCTAATCTGTTTTAATTTAAACTGTAGCTGGGAGCACTGCAGATTTCTCTGATCCACGAGCTCGCAGTAATAGCAATGAAGGCCCAGACTTTACCACTCCAAAAGCCATCAGCGATTTGGCAGTGCGGCGGGCACGACACAGGTTGCTCTCTGGGGAATCAGGGGAGAAACGTACCTCAAGACCTATCAATAAAGTGATTAAATCAGCATCCGCTACTGCCTTGTCTCTCCTGATTCCCTCAGGTAAGGAATGCCTCGGGTGAGGCATTGTCAGAATCTGCAAGCACTGAACAAAAGGTGTGCAGACAGAACCTCCCCATTTGCTCTTCTGGAATAATGCCCTCGCTGGCAGGAGGGGAGAGATCTAACTTTTACAGTCGGTTTAATATTTACTACTCAGCAGGATAATGAGTACTGCTTTGCCATAGACAGGAGCGTTGTGTGTGTGGTCTGACTGCAGCTTCTGCAAATGGCAGCTGGGCCTTATTCTCTCCCTAGTTTTGTTCAAATTGGCTCCTAGCTGGTCTCTAGACAATGGTGCAGCAAGGAGGTATAGAGACATGGGACAGTTTTAACCCTCAGAGTACTATTTTTGGGGGGTCACATGCTAACTACAGCGCTGTGTGGGAACTGAAGGTGTCTGGTGCATTCATGCACCAGGAAGTTTCAGTAACTCCAGGTAATTTGTTTGAGATTAAGTGTTTAAGAATTCAGTAGTGTGAGTGACTCACAAAGTGAGTCATTGAATAGCTTACCTCGTTGGCACGGCTCTGTCTCCAAGCAGAGCCAGATCTTGACAATTCCTCATGTCAGGTGGTAGATTCTAGTGAGCCCAACCATGCCAAGCTGTGACAGACTGGTTCAGCAGGAGGCTCTCCCTACAAGGACTTTGTCCCTTTTTCCAGAGGATAAGACCATGCTGTGTCTCCAGGGCTGTACCTGTTCCTGCCTAGGTGGGAAGAGGGAATTACAGCTTGTCCATGAGCGCCAACCCAGCAGAACCTGCTGGCAGAGCAGTGCCTTGCCCTCTCAGATGGGGAGCTGGAGGCAGGTATGCAACTGCTTCTTGGCACTGTCGTGGTGATGCACATTACATTTCTTGTGGTTTGGGCATTGGTTGCTTTTCAAACTACAAACTCCCTCATGAAAATCTCTAAAACGTGTATTTAATCACCCAGTAAAGGTCCCTCCAGAGCTGCTGCCGTCTGCCAGGTAAATATGTGCTGGGCAATTCAGCAGGTGTTTCTTAATGGATTAGAGATTACTTTTTACAGCTGCATTTAGTATTCCTGCTCTTTGGGTTGATTTTACTGATGTTGACCAGCTTCACTTTAAAACAAGAGTTCTGTATTTGCTTTGTATTTTTCAAAGTGTATGTTGTTCCACGAGCAAACAGGGTCAGATAGGTTAGCCGGTAGCCCAGCCCTTGGCTGTTCAGTTGGGAAACACACTCTAAAATGCACTTGTGGTGGTTTTTTTCAGTAACAGAGTCCCTGCAGTAGCTAATATTTTAGAGCAGTGAATTTAAAACACTGTCAAAACTACCTGGATGTAGTTGTTGTCTGACTGCCTACCAATTTTTTGTGTGATTACTAACTAATTTTGGTTCATCTCAGCTCCAACGTATAACTTGCACCAAGATCTAGAGACTGCCTGATCTTTTGGAGAAGGATAATAAGTCATAACCTTGAAAAGGGGGTGTTCTAGGGTTGTGCCTAGAGCAAATGTTTATGATGGGTTGTAAATCCCTGGAAGAGAAGTAAACACTGTGAGCCAACTGTAAGCCTAGGCAAGCAGTGCTGCTGTACTAAATACACACCTCCAAATGTGTTTTTTGGGGACACTGTTGATTTTCGTATTTCAAAGCATGAATTAGTTGAAGCTGCAGGCAAGCCCAGCTCTGGTGAAGACCAGAAGCCTTAAGAGCACTGGGAGAGGCTTTTTCTTAGCTGTTCTCTTAACAAGAATTTTCTCTCTTTTGGAGGCTTGCTTTCCTAATTTTTGCCCACCTTTGTGTCATCACTTTAGATCACCACACGTGTTCTCCATTGGCCAGTCCAATGTCACCTCATTCTCTCTCCTCCAACCCATCTTCGAGGGACTCCTCACCCAGCCGCGACTTTTCTCCTGCTATCGCAAACCTGAAACCACCAATCATCATCCATCGGGCTGGAAAGAAATACGGTTTCACTCTCCGTGCCATTCGCGTCTATATGGGTGACAGTGATATCTACACTGTGCATCACATGGTCTGGGTATGTCTCTGCTTTTCTAAAATGAGTACCCTCAGGGCCAGAAATGCATTTAGCCAGGGGTGTGGGATTTATCTTACCCTGTTTTCTTTCGGGGGTGGGAGAAACCCTTCCAAAATAAATAACTTGGGGTTGTACCTGCATCGGTTTTCAAGCCCCATCAGAGCACCACAGCAACCTTTCTTTCCTTCTTTCTTCCCTGGTTACATGAATCCACCTTCTTTCACCTGTAGCACATACTTTAAAGCATGTTTCTGTGTACATACCCTCTTTCTCCTAATTGGGGTTGTTGCATGAGGGCCACTCATAGCTAATTTATTCAGACCTATGTTGGTGATTGTAGCCAGCTTCTGATCACTTTGGTCTGCTGGGGTTTTCCAAGCAGTCGCTTGGAATTGATTACAAGCCTTAAAGCATCACTGTTGCTATGTTGATTGCCTAGGGATTCAGCTCTTGGCTTAGTGTTGTGCTGTGCTGAAAGGTCTGGTTTCCATGTCTGTATCTCTTCCTTCCCATTAAGTCTGGTACTTGAGCTCTGTGTTCCTTTTTTGTTAACCTGTATGACTTCTAGGAAGGATCCATTCCCCAAAGCAGTGTTGTTTATATTGTGTAGCTAGGGAGAATGGAGCCAGGGTAGAGGTTGTTTGTTTTTCTCCTTGTATCTCTCTTCGTTAGACAATTTGGACTTCATATGCTTTGATTGTTATTTAACTCTCATTCTTACCTAGAAAATAATTGAAGCTGCATTTTTCCCTTGCTTCTCTCTGCTTTCCTTGAAAAATGCTGAGTTTACCAAGATACTGATTTGTAGTCTTTCTGGATAGAGGGAGAGTTGTAGTATTCTCAAGTGTATCTGTCTCCTCACTGTAAAGAAGGCTTACCCTTCTGAACAGTGATGGGGAAAGGCATTGTGTTCATGGGGGAAAAGATATGATATTGAATAGGTTAATAAAGGATGGAGAGTGGAAAAAGAAGCACTGTTTGGGATGAGATGCAACCCCTAAACACCTGGCACAGAGTCCTATTTAAAAGACTGTTGGCTGCCTTGGGTTACAGCATGTCAGTGGAAGGATGCTGGATTTGAGATGGCAGAGGAATTGAAAAAGATTGAATGCTTGTCTGGATATCAAGAGTATCTAGTTAATGTTCCCGAGTGCTGAAAATACTTGGAATCGTGTTAAGCCTTTTCGTTGAGAGGAGCTGGTCTCTTGGTCAGCTTAACCATCCTGGATGGATGGACTGGGAGAAGACTGGCAGGGTGCTGGGGGAGGAATGGAAGAGCCCAGGTTTTTGTGCTTGGTTGTGCCAGTCTGTGGTTTCTTTCACCCTTCTTTGAAGCAGCTGGTGCTGGCTGCAGCAGAGGTGAGATGGATGGACTTTGAGTCTGATCTGGTCAGCAGCATTGTACATTCCTTTTCTCAAATCAGTCATCCCCTTCTTGTTGCCAGCACGTGGAGGAAGGCGGCCCAGCACATGAAGCAGGTCTGCGTGAAGGGGATCTAATAACCCACGTCAATGGGGAGCCGGTCAATGGACTGGTGCACACAGAAGTGGTGGAGCTGATTCTGAAGGTAGGGACTCAGCACTGCTAGATCTTGGAAAAAAGAGCCAGCTTGTTTAAAACAGTGTAGGTATCTAATTGCATTGTCTGTAATACAAGTATGTACACAGCACCTACTGGTATATAAAAGCAGCCTTGTAATGGTTGGTCTTAAAATTATCCATTTAAATGAGTTGTGTTTTGATACCTTCTCTGAGCTGTATCCATTTACAGAAGTAAAACCCAAAGGTTTGGACTGTTCCAAAAGGCAGAAGTCTTCAGGACTGCAAATAGAGGAGCAATAAAAATTATTTTATAAGGATTAATTTTTTCCTTTTTTTTCCTTTTTTTTTTTAAGATGAGACAAGCCAGGCTCTGTGTTGCAGAATCAGCATGATAGATGCCTGATATGCTCACATCTGCTGTCAGCCAGAGCACTGGGAATAGGATTGGTGACAGAATATCACTTTGTTCAAGTTTCCAAGTATAACAAGTATTAAATTGAGGCAGTTGGGATCTCAATGGGAGAGGTCAGATGCTGTGTTCTATCTGCTCTGGGAAGCTTTACCTACCAGCTGGGGTCTGAGCTAATCATTTGTGAAAGCCTGACTAAAGAGGGCTCTCTCAGCAATTCCTTAATAAATGATAGCTGGAAATGCAAAGGGGAAAATGGAGTTTGACAGAGGATTACAAAATGGCAGGCAGCAATAAACTAGCAGCCTAGCTGCTTAGCCTGCAGATCTGCTTCAAACAGCAATGTTTTAAGCGATGCCTCTGTGCCTTGTTTCTGACAGAGTGGAAATAAAGTGTCCATCTCCACCACACCATTTGAGAACACATCCATCAAAGTTGGCCCAGCCCGAAAAGCCAGCTACAAATCCAAGATGGCTCGTAGGAACAAGAAGAGCAAAACTAAGGATGGTCAGGAAAGGTTTGTTGTGATGTTTCTCCTTGAAAATTAAGCGGTAACCAACATAATGGAAGAGAGATCTTGCCAAATCAATTTCCAGATGATATATAGCAGCACCTACATCTTTCAGTTCTTTTTGTTTTCTTTTTCTCTTTAGTTGTACCATAAGTTTGACTGAAATGTGCCAATAAAGGTTTGGGCTCATTTGGGCTTGTAAACAACTTCTGAATGCTCTTCCACAGTAAGAAGAAGAGTTCTTTGCTGAGGAAGATCACTAAACAAGCGTCACTGCTTCACACCAGCCGGAGTTTATCTTCACTAAACCGTTCTCTGTCTTCTGGAGAAAGCGTGCCTGGCTCTCCAACTCACAACCTGTCTCCTCGGTCGCCAACGCAGAGTTACAGATCCACTCCCGAGTCTGTGCACTCAGGTAAAGAAAGAAACAAAAGAAACCAAACCCAAAACATCCCTACAGAGTGATAAACCTTGGAGAAGATTTGTGCTTATTGATTAATTTTTGAAGTGAAATACACAGCAGCAGGTATTAGGTCTGTTTGTGAAGGGAAACAACAGCTGTGATGTCGATTACCTTAAGTATGGATGTATTCCTTTTCATCGATTCACTTAAAAATGAAAATCCATACATCCTTTTAAGAAGGCATTTGCTGTACTACAGCATCCTTTCACCATCCCTTCACTTTGATGCAAACGTCTGTTGTAAGTTTTTGTAGCAGTTTGACACATTTTCTGTATTAGTTCAGAGAAAAGAAATCAAAACAATGTGGCAAAATTGTATTTGAAAATTGAATCGCTGATGGAATAAAGAGATTTGTGTCTTGAGAATAGCAATAGAACACTTGGTGTATCTGCTTGGAGGAAATCTTTCAGGAAAAACATTCTGGTAGCAGAGTGTTTCTTACTATATCCTGGTGTTGTGTGACAGTGATGGGATTTTTCCATCAGAAGCAATGCAGTATTACCTTATAATATTGCAACAGTGCTTTGTGGTAATGTGGCATTTTGTCTTGATTTTGCATGTCTTATTTTCAATAACTTGTTTTAGTGGTCAGATATATATTAATGTTCTTACTCTTTTTTTTTTAACTCCCTCCTCTAAGTTGGTGGCAATTCTTCCCAGAGCAGCTCTCCCAGTTCCAGCGTTCCCAATTCTCCAGCCAGCTCTGGACACATCCGCCCCAGCTCTCTACATGGACTAGCACCAAAGCTTCAAAGGCAGTACAGATCTCCGAGGCGTAAATCTGCAGGAAACATCCCTCTGTCACCGCTAGCTCACACTCCATCACCAACCCCACAGTCCACATCGCCGCAGCGCTCCCCATCTCCTTTACCAGGACACTCAGTTGGCAGCTCCAGTATTATTCAGTCTTTTCCAGTAAAGCTGCACTCCTCTCCACCACTGGTGAGGCAGATTTCTCGCCCCAAAAGTGCTGAACCCCCTAGGTCTCCTTTGCTAAAGAGAGTTCAGTCGGCCGAGAAACTGGCTGCCTCGCTGTCCTCTTCTGAGAAGAAGCTGGGTTCCTCACGTAAGCACAGCTTGGATATCTCGCACTCTGAATTTAAGAAGGAGATGCTACAGAGGGATCCTAGCCTCCAGAGCTTACAAGAATCTGCGAATGAAACAACAGGCGGCAAACTGGGGCTAGCAGAAAAGGGGATGTTGCAGAAGCCGGGTTCACGGAAGTTGGGTGCTATCAGACAGGACAGGGTGGAGAGAAGGGAGTCCCTGCAAAAGCAAGAGGCTATCAGAGAAGTGGACTCTTCCGAAGACGAAACGGATGATGGGTCAGAAGATAGTCAGGATGGGAGAAGACTCGACAAGCCCCCTGACAGTGGAGACCAAGGCTCGGATTCTTTTAATGAGGATAATAAGTTTTCATCTAAATTGGAAAGCAAGGATAGTATTGAAGATGATGCCTTTCTACCTGAAGACCCGAAAGGTACGGAAGATTTGCAGAAGGGAACTAATCAACAAGCCAAGCCTGTTTCAGAGCCACTGCAAATCAGTGCGCAGCCTTCCCCATCAGGGGTCCTCCCAAGAGCTTCTCCACAAAAATTAGCTGATTCAGAAAAGCCATTACTAAGGTCAGAAACAACTGCAAAGGAACAAAAATTGCCAGAAAACAAAACTTTTGAGTGTTTTGGTCCAAAAGAGAAACCTTCTGAAGCAATCAAAGACCTAGGGAGAACTACAAGTACTCAAAAACCAACAGATCGGACAGAACGTATACAGTGCCCATCTATCAAACTCCCAGAACTTGAAGAAGGTGACTCTTCAGGGGCCTCGTGTAGTAAGCTTGACCAGAAGGACCCTTTGCTAACAGAAAGCAGCCAGAAGAAACAGGACTCTAAACCTCTGCTGGCACTTTCTTCATGGTGCACGGCAAGCGTGAGCATTCCTCCCTCGGTAAGCCCCGTGGGCCACAGCGAGAAGGATCGCAAGGAGACCCTTCAGCCTGCAGAACAGCACAGCCCCTCGTTTCTGTCTCCTAGAAGCCCAAGTGAGGTGTCCCAAAAAAGTCCTTCTGCTGAAAAGCAGCCCAGCTCGTCCCAGGCAGAGAGTGCTCCAACTGCCAGCAAAACCAGCCCAGCAGGTCCTGTATCCTCCACGCTCCTCATCCCCGGCGCTATCGAAAGAGCTCTCTCCGTGTCTCAGTTAGTACCGCTAGCTCAGAGTGTCTTGGGCCCTTTGAAGCTCAGTATGTCTGGTTCTGGGGAGGTGGAAAAGAGAAAGGATTTCCCCCATTTGGGTGCCTCCTGTAAAGAAGAGAGGGATTTGAAACAAAAAAGACAGGAAACTTCACAAGCAGGAGCATGTCAAGAGAAAGCCAAACTATCTAGCACAGACAGTCTGACGGCAAGGAGCGGATCCTGCACAGAGTCGTTACACTCAGCCAAGCCCTGGGAGGCAACGTGTCCTGTGGTGGCAAAAAAGGAGGCGACTTTTTGCAGTGCTGAAGCACCTGAAGCGTTGGGAGGTAGCTGCAAAACCACTCCATTGAAAGAGCTGTCTCACGCTCTTGGACAAGCAGCTCTGAGAGCCTCTCCTCTGCCAGATGGCAGCACGAGGCCCTCAAAAGAAGGGACTCTGGCGCAAGCAAAAAGCAAAGAGGTTGGAAACCAGTTAAAAATACAAGACTTTCCCCTGTCACATGATGATGCTGTAAAGAAAACATAGCAGCATCCCTGGTACGAGTGGACTGGAGCATTCTACATTCAAAATAGAGACTGCATGTTTGAATTTTGTAATATACACTAATATAAAATAGAACTTGTGTACATCTATTTTTGGGAGGGTTTTTTTCATACTGTTTTTTGTGTTTTTTCATCCTTGCTATTCTATTTTTGTACACAGTAATGCTTGCTGTTTGAGGTCTCTTTAGAACAGGGTATCTTTAAAGCAGGGCTTAAGAAACAGTTTGTTTTATTTTATTTGTTTTTTTCCCCTTCCAGACTTTTTATTTTGCCTGAGTTTAGGGCCTGTTGTGCTCTTCCCTCTAATCCTGCATTTATTTGAGATCCCAAAAGTTCTGAGTACAAAAAAGGCAGCTTACTTTTAAATTTCTGCCTTTCAGTTTTCTCTTTGAAATGCCATTGAAATTCACAGATTTCAGGTTTGGTCTTTGAATTTACAATCTGATGTCCTTGGACAAGGAGAAGAAACTACTCTCATCCGCAGGTTGTTCTGGAGCTGCAAACCCTCTTCAGTGCAAGTGAGAGCTCTTTGTCACCATGTGCATCACAGTCCTTAGAGGGTCCAGAGGCAAGGGACTTGGCTGGAGGGGTCAGACACAGAGAGATCCGTGTCTGCTCTTTAAACCCAGTAAAAGTAGTTTTCAATGGAATTATCTGAAAGAGAAATCCCCAATCCGTAAGCTGTTTGGGGGGGGATTGTTTTTACTTATCGTTTATGAGACACTTGGCAACTTTTCCCTCTGTTTTTATAATTTTAGTGATGTTTTCTCTTTCTTTCTCTGGCTTCAATTCACAACTTGCCCTGCCTCAGAATAAATGACCCCAGGAAAGGGGTGCCTTGTAGGTTGGTCTTAAAGTAGAGAACTCTGTAGTCGCGTGTTCTCCAGTATGTGTCAGGCAAAGTTATCTTGATGATAAATGGCCTTTGGAGACTTTTCCTTCTCTTGGGGAGTCTAAATAGGTAGGGATTCTAAGGTGTTCCTTAACATTTCTGAATTGGAGCTTGGGAAACTTGCTGAGTTTTCTGAATCTGCCCGTTTTAAAAACAAAAGAATCCTGTGAAGAGTTCAGATTCCTCGAGTTCTGTGGACAAGCTGCAAGCAGACTTCAAAACACATGTGATATTTTAAGATTTCAGCTTTGATAGCTAGATCATTTCCACTGCTGAGGTCACTTTCCATTAAGAAAATTAACTCTCTGCTCTTAGGTTTAGACATTGCTTTGCTTTAAGTGTGACCAACTCTGGATAACAGTGCTCTTTGCTGGGGATTAGATCAATAATCATACACCAGTAAACATGTCGAGTGGTGATACCTATAGCACTGTAAAGCCATTTCTTCATCCAGTTAAAGGTTCCTCTCAATGAACACTCCCATCATTTGTCCCAGATTGTGCTCAGCTTTTAATCTAGTCTTGTCTGAGTGTATCTCCTTGCGGATCACCCGCAAGGTCTAGTATCCTGCTCACTGGCTTATGCTGTTAGAAGCAGAATGACTGTGCAACGGTATTTCAAGCTAAAATCTGCCTCTGTTGGTCTGATTTCATTACACCGCTGCCTTCTTCAGTGTCTTGTTTTTTTCTGTACTTGAAGTTTTGATTTGCTTTCCCCTAAGTGCAGATATGTTTTTCTATAGGAATAGATTTCCTCCAACTCTTTCAACTTGATTTCAGCTCAATCCACAAATCACAAAAGTCTCTGGAATCTCACCCTGCTTCTTTATGTGTAACTGTTGTTTCCCCCCTCGCCCCATTATATACTTGATTTTGGCTGCTTGGATTTCATTTCTGGACCAAGTTTTGGTTTGGACTTTTCTTTTTTAACATGTTTAAAAGAGTGTTTACTCTGTGTGTCTGTGTGAACATGTATGGTGTTGTTAATACACTAACCAAAGCCTCAATGCTCCCAGATAACACGTTAATAAATCTTGCTGTGACGGTATTGAGAGCGGAGCCTGCTGTGCTGTCTCTTTGCTCTTTTCCCTGGAATTCATAGGCTACTCATATACCCTTGGTTTGCAATAATAATCACAATATTTCCACTGCCTTGTCAGGGTCCTGGCTATCTCCAGCCTCTCAAAGCACTCTTGTTGATGAGCATCATTGTGTGCTGATTTGGAGCCATGGCAAGTAAGGAACAGGCTTGGCAGGATCTGGTACTTACCTGTCTGGTTTTCAGCCTGGTGGCTTGATCTGCTTAAACAATTGCTGAGAAACAAGGCCTGATCAGCAGTTGCAGTACAGGATAGAATGGACAGGAGCAGTGAGAAATTGATTCAGCATCCTGAGTCTGTGGTAATTATGAAGACAAGTCTCAGGCTTATGTCCTGAGAGCACCTAACCTCAGCGAGGTTGGAGGTCTCTGTGTAAATCAGTGAGCCCAGGGTTGTGTGAGGACAGGGTCTGACGTGGCTGCACCCTGGTTGCAGTCCCCTCTTCCTTCTCCTTGCAGTGACACAGCTTCTCCTGTGAGCATCCACAAAGGGTGCTGCATTTTAAGAACCTAATGGGAAAACCACCCCCTGCTCCTAGGAGAGAGGGCTGGGTAACCTGGCTCATCCCATGGTGAGGGTCTGAAGGTACCAGCTGTATTAACTGCTGACTGCCTCCCTTTGCAGGTGGTGGTTCCAGTGCTGAATTGCAGTTATCCTTTCCTACGCATAAAAAGAGGAGTTGGAAGCCTTGCTGTGTCACAGCTTTTGCTGCTGTTGTTGCCTGAGCTGGCCCAAGAAGAGGTGAGGTGTGTGTTTAGTCACCTCTTTTGTAGCTACGGTACAGAAAGTGATGGGTGCAATTTAAAAAACCATGTGTTTTTGGAAGCCAAAGCCAAACAGCATTGCCAGGAGAGCATCCTAGTGAAGCCACATATCCCCTGTGCCTGGTCAGTCCTGCAGTTCCCCTTGGTGTGCCAGGTTCCACCTTCTGTCAAACTTACCTGGAGCACCTTTGGCAAAAAATCACTTTCTATTAGATTCCGATAATAAACCAGGTAGATACACCAAGACTTACTCCTTGCTCTGCTAAGAAGTGCTTAAACACCTCAGATAAGCTTGTAAAAAGTGTCGGGTGGGATGGAGATGTTGGAAAAGCTGAGTGAGATGAGTGAGGATGTGTTCCCCAGGGCAGGATCGGACCCGTGGTACGCGAGCAAAGCATTCAGCAAGACAAGAACTTGGCCTCTGTAGATAACCCTCAGACAGGCGGGAGGTAGAAGGTGTGTGTGGTGTGTCTGATGAATGAGCCGTGCATGTAACCATCCCAATACGCTGCTTTCCTGCTTCGTTTCCCTCTTCCCTTCTGTCGGCTTGGCTCTCCTGCTCCTCAGGTGCTGGGGTGACAGCACCAAAGCTGGCTCCAGCCCCTGCAGCTCCTCTCTGCTCCTTCATCTAGCCGCCGCATTCCTGCCCCGTGCCTCATTTCAGTGTTACTTTTCCCTTTGTCTCTTACTGTTGCGAACTAAGAGAAACGGATGATATTTATTGTAAATATTAGACTTTAGCATTGTAACGGCCACTCCTGGGTCCGGATGTCAGAGGCCTTTGGCTGCTATTGTACTGAAGAGCGCTTGCTGGGAAAGGGGTAGGAGTGACCAGTGGTTTTGGTTGCCACACTTGCGTTAAGGTGTGATTTGGAGTATTTTAACTATTAACTATTTCTTTCTTCGGAAGAGGGCAGGATAAAGTCTTTCTCTGGTTTTCTCTTGCTGGATGTGAAGGATAATTCTGTACTTCTAGTAGAAGATTGGACAGAAGTGTGTGTTTCCCTTGTGTTCGATGACCATATCCAGGTGGCTGGGAGAGCGCCTCCTGAGCTGGGCTCCGCCAAGCTGTGTCACTCAGCACTTAGCTAGATAAGAGGAAGTGTGGAATTTCTGTGTTTTTAGAAACTTGAACAATTGCCACATAATAGCGGTGCAATAATTTTTATTCATGTTGTACCTGCATGTCGGTGTTCGAATCCTCCTCCAAAATAAAGAATTTGGGTTTTTTTGTTTTTTTTTTTTTTGTTTTTTTACATAAATTCACATTTGTGTCTGTCTCTTGTTGGGTTTCGCTTCAATCTCCTGCAGTGCTGGGGGTGCTTTCAGCATCAACTGGCTGTTGGATGGGGCGGAGAACAGCCTGTGGGGTGCCTGGGTGTGGGAGGTATCGAAGTAAATCTGCCAGGCTGTTTGGGTTTTTGTGTTTCGGATGTATGGATAAGACAAAGCTTTCCACTCTGAAACTCAAGCCCAAATTTACCATCCCAGAAGGCAAAGCGTATCTTGGGCTGCATCCAAAGGAGCGTGACCAGCAGGTTGAGGGAGGTGATGCTGCCCCTCTGCTCCGCTGTGGTGAGACCCTATCTTCAGTCCTGCATTCAGCTCTGGGGCCACCAACACAGGAAAGACTTGGATCTGTTAGAGGGGGTCCAGAGTAGGCCACAAAAATTGTCAGAGGGATGGAGCATCTCTGCCATGAGGAAAGGCTGAGAGAGAATTGGGGTTGTTCAGCCTGGAGAAGAGAAGACTCCAGGGAGAGCTTATCACAGCCTTTCGGTACTTAAAGGGGGGCTATAAGAAAGATGGGGAGAGACTTCAGCAGAGCCTGAGATGTCCCTGCTCATTGCAGGGGGCTGGATTAGATGGGCTTTCAAAGTCCTTTCCAGCCCAAACTGTTCTGTGGTACTCCGCTGTGACCAGTAGTGTCCGGTGTCCCTGCTAATGTGGGGTCCTGATGGTCAGCCCTGACTGAAGGGGGAAAAACATGTTAAGACATGAAACTTAGCTGAGCCACAGAAGAAAGCAGTGAGATGGAGGATGTGACTGACCACAGCTGAACGCAATAGCTGATGGGTGTATGAATTACGTGCACACAACATCTAAAGGGCAGCAGCTGCCAGTGGCACAGGTATGGCTTTGGCTCGCATTAGCCAAGCACCACAAGGCGGCAGGAGCTACACAGCCCCCATGTGTATCCACTTGGGCTGTCCTGATAATACACCCCGCAGACCTTTCCAGAAACAGCCCTTTGCTTTTAACACCTGCAGGTGTGCGCTCTCACATGGAAAAGCCTTCAAAGGCTTCTTCCTGTCCTTGGAACTGAAGAGCTGGGGAGACGCTCGTGTCTGAGGGGATCGGGATCGGCCTCATTTGCTGCTGATGATGCTCAAAATATCCCTTGTCTCCGTGCTCCGGAGGAGCTGCCAAGCACAGGGATGAAGCAGAGCTCCATCCACGGGAGGTTTGAAGTGCTCTGCCCGCAGCCTCCCGCCGCACCGCTGGTCGTCATTGCTGACGTTGGCTCATAGAGGAGCAGAGCAGAGCTCCTGCCCACACCGAGGGGATGCGCGGCGCGGAGGGATGGGAGCTGGGACCTCGCAGCCGCAGGATGCTGCTGTTACATCTCCTGCTGCCTTAAGCAAAACGGCCTTTCTATGGCACAGCTCGGATCCTGTGGTCACCGATGGGTTCAGTGCAGGGACCTCGTGCAGAGCAAGGGTTGGCTGTGCCCACTGACCAAGTCCATTGACACAGGGAGCCAGGAGCATCGCTTTGATCCTGTTCCTTAGGCACAACCAGAGATGTGGCAACGAGAGCTTTTCATATTACATCTTCATGGGAACATCCCAGTGTTCTCCTTGTTAGCACTGGCTAAAGTTCGCTGGCTGAGATTTAATTCAGGTTAAGTTTAAAGTCACAGCCCTCCCGTAGATATTCCCCCAGTCAGGAATAAACTGCTCTTAATTCGCAGTGGTTTATTCTTCCAGAGGATTCAGCTGCAACAAATAAGGGACATTTTCCCCCTGGCTGATGACACGCACATGGGCAGCTCCGTGTGCTTCAGTGCTGAGATTTGAGTCCTTCCCCAAGGATCAGAGCACACGAGCCAGACTCTGGGAGAAATCCCACTGCCCACAGCCAGGCTGCCTGCAGTTTACCTGGGATTTCAGACAGGAATTAGGGGAAAAGCCAACACAGGTGCTTGGCTGCTGCTGTTGAGTGCATTTCCCAAATGGAAACCACAGCTGGAATTGCTGTCGGATGCACTAAATGGTGACATGACCCCATCAAAACCTGGCAGCAGCAGCAGGAGTGCTCGCTGCGCCCTGTGAGCAGGGGGAATTGGGGCTTGTCATCAGTGCAAAGCATTTTCCCCCTTTTTGGGGGCCTTCTAATAATAATAATAATAGATGGTGTGTGGTGGAGGAGGGCTGCCCTTGGCAGGGGGAAAAGGTCATCCCATGGGAGGTTTTGCAGCAGCATCCATCAGGGTCAGGCTGAGCAAGGGGCACGTCCCTGAAGCAGAGAGGATTTGTTCTGTGCTGGTGAACCGGATGATGCTCCTGTGAGTTCACAGCTCTGGTTTCACATGGGTTCAGGTGAGATCAGGCTGGCTCAGGCAGTTTCCCCACAGCCAGGCTGCCAGAAGAACAACACATATGAGTTTGGACCCCAGCCCAGGCGCTGGGTGCAGTTAAGAGAGGTCCTGGGTTGTATATTGTCCCAGGGATGTCACATCCCTAACCCTGGACTTGTCGTTCCCACTTGGACATATTCAGCTCACCAGGGTTAAAAGCACCCTAAAACCTCATTAAAACCCATTGTTTCCCTTCCACCCAGAGACCCGTGGAGCAGAAACATGGTGCTAATTGCTCAGGGTATTTACTATGACTGAAGGCTCCTCCATCCCTCCTGCTGCCAGTCCTTAGGGACATGAGGGTCCCAGTCTTCAAGGTGGCCCATTTGGGGCTTTCCAGCTGGGAAATCCTGATTACAGGGGGCAAAGCAAGAGGTTTTGGTGTGGCAGAGGGATGCTGCAAGCCCCAGGAGGGACTTCCAGCCGGACACAGCAAGGGATGGGACTGAAGACGGACCTGGGCATCTCATGTGCTGTCACCCTGAGTGTCCCTGCCTGCGCCTGGTGTGGAGCTGGGACAAGCACCGAGTGCGGGGGCTGAGCTTTGGGGTGATGTGCGGATGTCCCCACAGGGTTTAACCCATCGTGTCTGGCTCTGCTGTGCAGCCCCATTCCCCCTGACCACAGGAGCCCCCAGGGGCTGGCCCACAGCCACCCCCCCCATCTTACCCTCATCACGTGCCACTGGGCTTTATGTTTTAAACGCTGATTAGGGCTGACCTCATATTTCAGAGCTTACTTCATAGTCACTAATGAGGGATTAGGAATGTTAAGCTAATTAGCAATCAGCAAATGAGGCCTCGGCCAGGCTTCTCAGCCTGACGTGCTGTCAGTGAGCGGGTTATTTGATGATCATTGTAAACCCGCTCAAACAGGCCGGCTAATTCTGATGGGCAGCAGGGAACCGGGGCAAGCCGCAGCCCAGGCCATGGGAGCCCATGGTCCTGAATGGCCCTGAATGGCCCTGGCCACTCTCCTCAGACTCAAGAACACAGGAAACCTGCCCCTGGAGTCAAGGGATTTAAAGAAATCAACAAACTGGGGCTTTGCCCCAGCTGAGATTTACGGAGTGATGGAGTTTGACCTGCCCAGCCTCGCTGTCCTGGGACATGCCACCTAAGGAGGAATTTGGCCATCCCTGGATGCTGCTCAGCTCTGTTGTGGTCAGGAATCCCGTGGCAGCATCAGGTCTTGGAGCTGGTGATGAGCCTCTGGGACATGTTAGTTCTTGGCTCACGGGCAGGGGTTGCAGCTGCGTTTTGTGGTGCTGCCCCATAACTGACCCCCTCCAGCTTCATCCAGGGGGAACAGAGGTGGGAGCTGATGGGAACTGGGCTGGCAAGGAGGTACAAGGAAGGTGCTCACTCTCTATTACCTCTTTGTGTTAGTGCTGATCCAGAAGGGCACAAGGGCTGCAAGGGGTTCCTGGGCTCTGTCCTGCTGTTTCTCCACTGTTTTCAGTGTATTTAAACCCCAAGGAGGTCCAGCTCCACACCTGATGACAGCCCATGGGGACAGAGGGCTCAGCCATGTGCCAGGGACGTGCTCCCGCTGTGCTGAGGGCAGTGGGGGAATGAGGGAAGGGGAATGGGGGATTGGATTGGGACTGGTGGCGTTGCTGCCAGGCCAGTGCTACCACAGAGGGATGGGTCAAGGACTTTGTGCTGGGTGATGCCAAAATGGGCTGTTTGCAACCCTGGAGATGGGGGTCAGGGTGGTGGCAAGGGCTTGTGGATGGATCTGGGGCAGGGACGGGGCAGGGATGCTCCCATTGCTCATCAAACCCCATTTTCCTGCTTTTCTGGGGGAAAATCCAGCTTCCTCCTCCTTTGCAGCCAGTGTGGGCAGACGTTTCCTTCCCTCGGGGGCTCAGCACCGGCCAGGACATGGGTCCGCGGTCCCCCCCCCCCCCGCCCCTCCATCCCTCAGTGGGCAGCACCAGGCAGGGATGGATCCAACCCCCCCCCTTCCCCGTGTGCCACCCCAGCCTGGCAGCCTGGGAGCTAAAAATACGCGAAGCACAGGGGATAACCGGGCTCCTAAATATATCCCTGCTGGAATTAGCGCCAGGCGACTGCCTCCCAGTCACGTCCGTCTGCCCGCTAATCCCAGCTGAGCCGTGCCCGCGTCAGAGGGCTCCCCCGAGCAGCCTTCCCCAGCTCCGGCCGCGGAGCATCCGCACACAGGGAGGCTTCTTCACCCTGACCGTAACCAGGGCTGACCGGGATGGCCGGGGATGGAGGGCAGGGTGATGCGCTGGTTAAACTGGTGCAGCGCTGAGGCATTGGTCCTCCTGGTCTTGAGATGTGCAAGAGGTGGGGGGTGATGTGTGCCGGGGGGCAGGAGCACCCCCAAGCTGCTACATCTTCCTGTGCACCTCGTCCCTCCTCCCCTTCCCCTCTCTGGTCTGAAATACCTGCAAGTGTCCTTGCAGCTCTCTGGTTAACGGGGTGTTCTCCCACGCCGGTTCCCGGGATGCTCCTGTGTGCAAGGCTGCCATTGAGCTCGACGGGGTCAGCCTGAGGGAGCATCCTGCTCCCACACATCTCACCTAGGAGTATCCCTGGCTCTCCCTGGTGCTCCCCTGGGGAGCCTACAGCCTGG